ACTGTAAACACCCGTGGAGGTTTAATGGTCTTGAATGGCCGATAATGGACGTGGAATTGGCTTTGCAGTAGGGCTGCCATGATGTTATATTTTTCACACCAGGGTTATTGTGGCCAATTCATTAATAATTCATTAGGCCGTGTGTCCACCAAAGCATTCTTCCACGCGCCTGGCGTATGTTTTCAATTGTTTTCAATGGGAGCGCCACGTTTTTTAAACGCCATGAGTGTACCGAGGCGCTGAGCGTTTTTTTTCACGCCGAAGTGCCGAGCGCCCGGCGTTTTTTACTGGTCGCTGGGAGTTGAAAATTGTTCGACTTTGGATAAAACGCAGCACTCATCACTCTCACTTTTTACCCAGCCGTCCAATCACAGTGGAGGAGGGGCGGGACTAATACCACACCGACCAACTGTCACAACATTCAAACTGCTGCGTATATTCTGTATCATAGCAACGAAACGTCTCAACGGAAAAAAACGCTGCGCTGCCAAAACGCTCTCATGCGCCCAAAGCACGCATGTGTAATGGCGCTCTGTGTCGCAGCAGGATTTTGATCAAGAGCCGTTGCTGGGCGCTGCGGACAGACGCCGAATGGCACAACCGGTGTGTACACACTCGATGAGAAAACGTGTTCGAATTTTAGAGACGTGGTGCTACGCTTCTCGTCCGGTGTGTGACCCCCTTTAAAGTGCGGTTTTCTTTCAAGCCGACGAACTCCCATACAGGCGAGTGTTTCACTCTTTCGCTCAGACGACTTCTCAGAGTAAGCTTAGTTCACACTATACGATTTTAAGCCCGATTTGCAAATCGTTGAGCTCGTCGACAGGTCAGGGTGTTGTCGCGTGGAAATCGCGGGGGGTTAGCGGCCGATGAACGCTTGCTTGCCAATCTGTTAGTATGAAAGAGCCAATAATGCATCAAAAAACCCAAGAAAATATCTAGCATGCTTGATATTAGGGGTGGCATGGTACATGAAAAAACATCCAAACCGTTCGGTTCGCTCGTCTCGGTTCGGAGCGTGTGTGCGTCTCACGGTTCGACGCATGCGCAATGTAGCCTCGTGTGTTTTCTTTGCACGCGAAATAAGCTTGTTCGACTTGAACCGGTGCAGCACAGAGCGATCGGTGAATAACATCAAATTAGCGTGAGAGCGACGGCTCCGTATTCTTTTCAATCACTCTCGCGGTACTTTGATGTCATGACCGATCGCTCTGTGCAGCGCCGGTTCAAGTCGAACAAGTAACGGTAGAGATCCACTTGTCCGACACGACATTCGCGTGTAGTCGCGACGCCTCCCCACATTTGTACTTTGATGGGCGTTCCTCATGTTTAACGCTATGAGTGTGGTTTTGAGCCAGCGGCCAGTCTAGAATAGAGGACTTGCGAGAGACTTCCCGCCGTCTCCATATGCTCTACTTCTATTGGATAGTCACGACGCGTTCAACGGAACTCATTTGCATAAAGATAGGCATCGGCCAGCTTTTTGACGCGCAGCATTTTTCCAAATGAAGCGCCGCCTTCCCGGGATGCTTTGCGGGCGTGTTAAAGTCGCCTGACGTCACCCATAGGAATAAAGCGGAGTGCGGAGCGACAGAAGTGCCGCTCGGACAAGTGGATCTCTAGCCTAACCCTAACCCCCTGGTAAGAAGTTTCAATTGATGTGTGACCAGACTGGATACCACCCGAGATTTTGGACTTTTTCAAACATCTCCATAAGAAAGTACTGCTAAAAGTCCATTTGAGAACGCACCTGTCATAGATGAACCCGTAGTTAATTTAATCCTATAAGCTGTAATGAGACCAGGCAACATACCCAAGAAATGTGTGCATCCCTTATTGCGAAACTCCAAGACTATGGCTAGTGTCATAACGACTGTTGTTGAACATATGGAGGAATTGCATTCAAATGTTAAAGATGATTGAAATTACTCCAATATGTGGTTCCTGTACATGTGTTTGTATGAGATGTGGAATGGTCATTTTGTGTAAAATATTGTTGAATATAAAACATGCATGTTTTCAAGATTTGAATGTGTCTACTGATGTTTTAAAGTGTTGAAACATGATAGATTTGACCAGTATAGATTTGACTGTGATACTGTGATAGATGTGACCAGTAAAGGATAAAAGAACACGGAGGCATCAGGGTACAGCAAACGTGTAGGGGTTTATTTCCACAGGATGGGGTTACAAAAGTAAAGCCAATGCTAACCCAATGGTGGTAAACCAAACAAGGGGGATACATAGACATATAGTGGCCATTACACACAATAAACGAATATGAAAACACCCAATATACATAAACAAACACCTCAAATAATACTATCAAATGACTTCACTTAATAAATGTACTTCTTATAAACAAACAAAAGAAAAGCAAAAGCGAGTTCCCCCGGAGCAGAAACCGGAATGGTTGTGACCCGATCATCGGAACCATATATATAAGTCCGCTATGTTTCCACTCGAACCCCTTTTGATGGTGCACCACAGGACTCAGACGTGACGTATCAAACAAACTAAAAGAACGGTAAGAATAAACTTAAACTAAACGTTAAAGTATGTGTGCACACTTAATTCCAAACGAAAGTTTAAATAAAGTGTATTAAACCAAAATAATGTTGTTGTGTATTCTTTAATGTAAACAAATTCCATTTAATAAAACCTCAAACTGACCTGACCTGGGCTCACCAACATACGCCACAGACACAAATGAGTTAGGGAAGTACATTTTCACTCTCCAAGTGTTGATTAAAACAGACATAAAATGCACTAACTTTGAGTATTTTTTCACTCCCGGATGGTTCTAGGTTTACACTGCAGATAAAGGCTAGTCTTCTTAAAGGGTTAGTTCACCCAAAAATCAAAATTCTGTCAGTATTTACTCACCCTCGTGTTGTTCCAAACCTCTATGTGTTTATTTGTTCTGCTGAACACAAAGGAAGATATTTGGAAGAATGTTTTAATCAAACAGATCTCAATACCCAAAAAATACATACTATGGTAGTCAATGGGGAATGAGATTTGTTTACGGATTAAAAACAGATTAAAAATTGATTAAAACATTCTTCCAAATATCTTCCTTTGTGTTCAGCAGAGCAAATAAACACATAGAGGTTTGGAACAACACGAGGGTGAGTAAATACTGACAGAATTTTCATTTTTGGGTGAACTAACCCTTTAAGTTATTTTTAAGGCAAGGAAAAAAAACGTTTAAATATTTCATTTTGGTGATCAAAGATGAGTTGTAAGGGTTTACTATTGACTACAGGGGGACTTTAAATCAAACACTGATGTTTATGGTGAATTGTATATTTATAGCTGTTTGAAGAGAATAATAACATAAAAAGGAATTTAAACAAAAGCCCAGATGCAGAAACTTTACAATGCAGTTCACATGTTAAATCAGTACAGCTCATTTATACATTTTCAATGGGAAACAAACATTTGCAAACATTTTCTGAGAGCTGTAGTGAATTACATTGCGAGACTGATTGGAAAGACAGATAATGCTGTTACTGTTAGTTTCACACCAGACAAAACCATCTGAAATGAAGTAGGCCATCATGTAATATGAGGCTGTTCTAGTTAATTATTAGCTTGTGCCTTTCATAATTCTGGCCTGCAGAGTTTAATGAAAAACACTTCAATCCCCAAAGCTGTAATCTGTTATCAAGTACAGTCTCCTTCATTTATACAGCGCTTTAGAGAACGTCGAGTTTCACAGCAGCGTTACAGTGATGATAACAGGAAAATAAAGTAAGATTGGTTTGGCTTTACAGCAGATCTAGAATAAAGTTATTGTCCAGCTGATTATTCACGACTACAGTGCAGGAAAATCAGCAGGTGATTTTAGTGCTGTTATGGGTGCAAAATTAAGATAATGCAATAATAAAACAATTTTATATTTGTGTCTTAAAATTATAAGTATTTTTTTTGTGCTCAGTTTAAATTCTTCACTTGCTCTTGACTGTTTGTTTAGTTTTTTGGATTAAAGTTTGTTTAATGTTCGCTGCTTCCCTGCACTTTAAACTTTGTCACAAGTCAAGCATATTGGTTCAAAAACCCCAAAGATAGGCCAGCAAGACAAATAAACTAATGCTATCCAAGTCTTTATAAACAAGTTTTATTTAACTCTGATTTATTGCTCATTATTTGAAAATGTTTTATTGTTTTTTCGCCCAAGAGTCACATCATAACATTAAGAAACACTATATTCTGTAATTATATAAATATATATAATTTTAACCTAAGGACACATTAGCAGAGGCTTTTAAATGTAACACAAGTCAAATTAATTTTAGTTTTAAAAACTTGATACATTTATTCACCAAGGTTGTTACAAATGTATCATTTGTTGTTTTTCCCGTACATCATTTGCCCGCTTTGATCGAGCTTAGACACTTTCTTTTCATACTTTCAACAATATCATTTGAGATGTTCTTGTTTGGTCTCAAATATACCGAGCCGCCTTCCAAAAGAGATTTCTTATCGATTTGGTTTCAGTTTTAGATAACTACTGTATAATTGAGGCTGGTCTGTACATGGAGCTGCTCAAACAAGGAGATCAGCGTTTCAAAAGCATCACAGAATCGCATCGTTTGCACTTCAAACTGACTGATAGTGACTCTGTGTGTTAACCTGAGATTGGAGGAAGTGTCTTAACATCTTCACTTCTGAGGTCAGAGGTCACTCGTTCAAGCGTAATATTGCGCACTGTAAAAACACTGGTGTGGGAATTACTTAGAAACAATTTCAGTCGGAAATTGCTTGAAATGAATTAAACTGAAATGGTATTTTCTTGTAAAACGAACTGGTTAAAAAGTAACATTCGCTTTATTTAGTGTTGTGCAACGATTAATCGCATCCCAAATAAAAGTTTGTTTACTCTGGAGCAACTAGGGGTTAAGTGTCTTGCTCAGGGACACATTGGTGTCTCACAGTGGATTCGAACCCGGGTCTTCGGGTATATATATATATATACAGCTTTTTCCGATTAATTGTTGCCTAGCACTTTATTACAGTGTACGGATGGATGGGAGGACATGTTCTGCTCTTGATGCTGTTCTTCCTCAGTAGTGTGATTGAACACACACATTTCTATAGTTTAAGACTCTCCTCAAGAGACACGTGTGGTGAAAGAAGAGGAAATCTTCTCCGATTGCAGGGAAATGTTGTATGGTAGCAGCTGTGTTTGTGTCTGGAAAGCCCCGGATCTGGTTCTCTAAGCTCAGAGATGTTGTGGCGTTTACATGCCCCCTGCTCCTCACCTATTGACTTACTTTATTAAATAAACGCCCCTCAAATCCTTCCACCAAAGTGAGTCTTTATAGGATTAGACGTGCGCAAACAGCCTCCATCAGAGGGATCCACTCTCTCCGGTGTGATGGAGGAGCGCTGGCGTCACCAGATGATGAACTAATGGATGCATCTACAGCTGTGACCCTTCAGACTTCCACCAATGACACGCTTTCCACATGTTACCAAGACCCGTCCACCCCTCGCCATTTAAAACCTGCCAACCCGACCAAAGGCCGCTCTACACCTGTGGAAGAGAGAGGCACTGAGGCTCATCTGGATCTGGAATATATTGGGAATAAATAAAGACCAACCAATCAATTTGTGGGGACATCTGACTGAGGTAAAAACTCATGTTTATGTATTATTAATCACTATATATCATGACTGTAGTCCTGCATCATTGTGTTTTTAAAAGCATGTCTCACTTTAATTGAGATTTTATGTTCTGGCAATGTTCTCAAACATTCTTCCAGTAACGTTTATATAACATTCATTTAAAGTATGTTTTTTTTAATAATGTTCTCAAAACCTCATTTTTTATACAACATTCATGGTACGTTTTTCCTGAAACATTTTAGTTGGACTTTCATGGAGTTTATCGAATAATCATAAACGGTTGGATCATTTTTATAGTGCAGTGACCTCTTATTCGTCAAAAGAACAAGGAAAATTTCATTTATTAAATAATTTGTTTAATGAATCACAGTTTTTTAAAAACATGCCCATTTTAAAGGTGTTTTTTCATTGAACTTGTTTAGAATTATTGTAATTAAAATCAGGAAATGTTGCAAAATGGAATATTCTCTTAATGCTTGTGTAACTAAGAAAAAAAGTTTGAATAAACTGGATGATTTGAACTACTAGAGAACATTAAAAAAATAATTGTATTGTAACTGAACGTTAGCGGGGAAAAAAAACTTATCTTTGTTCCTTTGGATGCAAAGTATCTAATAATCTGGACAAATAAGTCATGAAATCTCCAATATATTAATAGGAATGATCAAAAGGTGACAAATGAAATTTGAGCTGTATATAAAGATGGATGTAAATAACCTCAAACACTTTCAACACAAACGGATCGGTTGGATTATAACTGAAGTGTCCTGTGTCCTCTTTTCCAGGCTGATGGTGAAGAAGTTCAGCTCTTCAGAGACACGATGAGGGTTGTGCTGGTGTGTGTTCTGGCGCTTCATCTGGCCGGGGTCATGGGGTGAGATGTTCTACTGCAACACATCAGTGCTGGCCAATCACCATTCATCACATCCAATAAAATAATAAATAAATACAAACACATGCATGCATATATTCATGAATAATGTGTTATTTATATATCAAATATGTATATTTATATAATAAATTATGTATAAATATATATACATGCAAATATTTCTTAATATATGCATGTGTGTCTATTTATTTATACACAGCACACATGTAAACACAAACATATACTTTTATTGGATGTGATTAATCGTTGCCCAAGTTTTATTGCAATGTTTTTAAAAAAGCTGTAACCCTGAGTAGAAGAAGCTGTAAAAGCCTGATCCGCTTTCTCTGACCCCTGACCTCTGACCCCTGACCCCAGGCACTGGTGTGAACACACGGTGCAGGAGACGGTGGAGAGGATGCTGTCCCCCCGTGAGCAGCGAGAGGTGGACTGTTCCTCGGTTTATCAGTTTAACACACAGGGCTGGAGGCTGGACGTGGACCGGATGCGGCACGAACACGGCGGAGACGACGGCATCGCCCTTTATTACAAGGGACAGGGGTCCAAAGCGTCCTGTTACATATTCAAGTGAGGAAGTAACTCCAGCATCACAGCTATTCTGTCAGATCTGAGACATTTCCTCATTTATATTTCATACGATTAGATTTATCATTTGTTCTTTGAACTTGATAATAACATGACTCAGTGGTGTAACCCAGTGGTAAAAATGAAAAATATTTTCAATACAACAAAAAGAGCTTTAAAACGAACTAAAACAAACAAAAAAATCTATATGAAATCATTTTTCTCATTTAAATTAGTCTCAAATCATTGTGTATATATACATACAGTGCATATATAAATATAATATGTTATATATAAATATAACCAATTTTATTAATACGATTAATACCAATTAATTGATTTGACAGCACATATATATATATATATATATATATATATATATATATATATATATATATTGTCAATCTCCCCAAAACATGTTTGAATGGAAATTGCCATATTTATGTGTTAAAATAATTGTAAAAGCCTTGTAACAAACCATTGGATTTTTTTTTTTTCATATACAATGAGCTATTATTATGTCAAAAGATCAAGGAAAATTTGAGTTCATGACCCCTTCAATTTATTAAATATTTTGTTTAAATAAAATCACACAGTCTTTCAAAAACATGCAAGAACATTTACAACATTCAAAAACATTTACACATGTAAATGCCCATTTCAAAATCAAAATAATGATTTTTTTCATAGATTTTTTTTGCCTAAAAATTCAAATTATTGTTAAATAATGTTAAGAACATGTTTTAAAATACTTACAGTGCTATTTACATTTCAAACATGTAATTAAAATGAGAAAAGTGATCCACATATTGTTACTAAAGCATCGTGTGTGTGTGTGTGTGTGTGTGTGTGTCAGACCTCCAGAGATTGAGACGGAGACGCTGAACCGCACGCTCAGACAGTGTTGTGAAGGCTGGGCCGGCCCGCACTGCTCTCATGGTGAGATCGGATCACACGCCTCGAGTCATGTTGAATATGTTATTATATCTGTGTGTTCAGAGAAGGTCTTGTTGACATGTGTGTGTGTGTGCAGGAGTGGGTGCGCGGGGTCAGTGCTTCTCCACCTGGACGTGTGAGGAGTTCCCCGGGGTTGGTAACTCGTCCCTCATGACGCTGGAGCAGTGCTGCGGTCACCTGTGGGGATTGAGCTGGAGGAACGCATCCGACCAGACGTGTCTGTCGTGCACATACACACTCCTGCCCGGTTAGTAGTGTTCTTCACATCACTCAGTAGATGCTCACACTCTCATTTACAGTGCAGCTGTTAGGCTTTTTGCGGATAGTATGGTAGTTGTTACGTTTCTTAAAGGGATACTCCCCTTTTTTTGGAAATGGGCTCATTTTTCAAAGGCCTTAGAATCTTAAAAGATGGTACCCACCCTGCTAACTTCCTCTTTTCCATACTTCCATCAGGAAGAAGGATAAGAGCTATTAAGACTAAAACCTCCCGCTTCCTCAATAGTACATATTGCAGAGCTATTAAATATCTTAACAGTCCTCACCAATCACTTAAGAGGAAAAGGTTCTCTTAACGAGACTGCAGTATTTCTTTTTTTATTATACACTTGTTTTACAGTGTTTTATTATACTTTTTTGTATATTTTATGACTATCAAATCAGTGATTTTATTGACTAATTATTTATTGCATAGCTGTGGATTTATGCACTGTATCACATGTAATTGTCACACCTATCTGATATCAATTACTATAACTATCATCCAAGTATGTGGTGAGCGGTGTGTTCTTTTTATTTTTATCTATCTGTGTCAAGTGTTATCCCTTGGGGGATATTGTGGTGTATATTGTTGTTCTATTTACGTCCTTGATTGTATTTTGTTTGTATGAGCACACTCAAGCAAATCCCTAACAACTTGTAACGAGTTGTATGGCAATAAAGTATTGAATCTTAATCTTAATCTTATTTTACCACTCCCCCAGAGTTAAACAGTCGAGTTTCACCGTTTTCGAATCCATTCAGATGATTTTCTGATATTTAGAAGAATATCAGTAACCAGACAGTTTCTGGTCTCATTGACTACCATAGTATATATTTTTTCCTACTATGGAAGTCAATGAGTCCAGAAACGGTCTGGCTACTGATATTCTTCTAAATATCAGAAAATCGGGTGAATTGATTCAAAAACGGTAAAACTCGACTGTTTAATTCTGGGTGAGTTGTAAAATGAGCCTATTTCCAAAAAAAAGTGGAGTATCCCTTTACGGGATGTAGAATATGGTCATGCAAAATAAGGCATTAATATGTGCTTTATAAGTAATATTAAACAACAAATATGTAATATGCATGATAATAAGAAACTAGTTAATCGTGAGAACTGGACCCTAAACTAAAGTGTGACGGAAGAAAAGTTGGCGTCAGTAATTCCAGTCTCACTTCCTGCTGAATCTGTAGGTTTGTAACTAATTAGCATTTTGCCAGCCTCTGGTGTTGATTGGCTGAGCAGCGTCTGTTAGCCCCGCCCTCAAACACTAGTGTATCTGAGACTGGGAGAGTTCGACTCGTGTCGAGAAGACGCTGTTTTCTGAGATTGAGACGGTAAAACCCACGCCATTGTCACTGTTCGCATCAGAGCTGAGATTCAGATATGATAATGAGCGTTTACTTTCTGACCAATCACAGCAGAGCAGCTCGCAGAGAGGCGGGGCTTAGAGACTGAATCTACACAGAAGCGTTTCAGACACTGAGAGGAAAGAGCTGAAGCTGCAGTGGAGATTATGAGGACGTTACAGTGTTTCTGACCAATCACAGCAGAGCAGCGCTCAGAGAGGCGGAGCTTAGAGAGACTGAATCTACACAGAAGCGTTTCAGACAAGAGATGAAAATGAATGTATTTGAGTGTGTGTCTGTGTCTCCCCTCAGACGTCAGGTCTTCTCCGGTCATCCGTGGCGTCCGTGACCCGCAGGCGTCCGGCACCTGTATGAGCTGGGGCGGGACACACTACCGTACCTTTGACCGGAAACACTTCCACTTCCAGGGCAGTTGCACGTACCTGTTGGCCTCGTCCACCGACGGGACCTGGGCCGTTTACTCCAGCTCAGTGTGTGACACCGCGGGACACTGTCGCAAGGTACAAACACACACTCGCTGAGAGCTTATATTCCCACAAACGCCTGTTTAGACGTCAACATGATCTCAAAATGCTGAAGTCAAGTCATCTTCATTTATACAGCGCTTTTAATAAGAGCTGCTTTACAGTGAGAACAGGAGATTACAGTAACAGAGACTCTACAATAAAGTCCAGAAGTTCACAGATCATTAGTTATTAACTTAGTTAACACTAAAACAGAAAACAACGTTGAATGCGTTCTTAACTTTAATTTAACTCTTCTTCCTGCTCTTTTAGTGCATCATTTATCGGTTGATGTTATAAACATATTTTACCTTAAAAAAATATTCATAATGTTTCATCAAAATGTGCTACTTTTCCTAAAGACTAAAGACTCGAGGATAAAATCAAGTCCTTCATTATGTTTCTTGTTTAATAAATCCAGTTTTACTCTAAAATTGGTTGCAATTTCATGTTCATATGCTCATATTGTTGCAAAGTATCATTTTATGGTATGAATTCAAAATTTTCCCAAAGGCCTCTCGGTAGCATTACTTAAAGCTAAATTCATTAATTATAATGAATAATGCATTATATTTTTTCTGCATTATATCATATAATGCTTTTTAATGCAAGTAAATAATTGTAAACAAAGTTAAAATGCATTATAATATTTGCAGATTCATTGTTACATCCATAAATGTGTTTGTATAACCTGGCAATTATACTTTCTAAAGGTGCAACAATGAATAGATAAGTACTATAAAGCATTATAAGGTGCATCACAAGGCATTAGTAATGCATTAAAAATACTTTTATAAAATAAAGAGTCCCTAGTAAATTCATTCGTCATGCATAAAATCAAGTCCTAACATTTTATTGATTGTTGAATATATAGTTTTACTGTAAAATATATCTTATTCAAAGGTAAAATTGGTTGCAAAAGCCATTTCATGTTCACTTGAGACCTTCAACATGTTGAAATTGTTGCAGAGTTTTAGTTTAAAGTGTTTCAGGCTGTACGATTAGCACCAGGAATCTTGCTTTGGGTCTTCGTTTGTGACTCAAAGATCGGCCAATTCAAGAAAACAGAACACAACACTCATCTTTTGCATCTGGTTTCAAGTTGTTCGAGGTCATTATGAACAGGCCGATGAACTGAACATAATTTGTCTTGTTGAGATGTGACGTTTGTTTCTACAGCTGGTTTCTGTTGGTCATTGCATGAGAAATCTTGAACCTCAATGATACAGAAAGTGTAATTGGTTTTGGGAGTTTGGGATGTTATTATATTGATAATGATTGTTGATTGACAGGTCTTGGCTGTAGTTTATGTGGTTTGTTCTGTGCTGTAGGGCCTGCGGATGATGTTGGGTCTCGGCTTGGTCTCTGTTCACAAAGGAAACATGACAGTGAACGGCGTGTCTCTACCGCAGGGTGAACCGCTCTTCCAAAACGGTGAGAGACGCTTAATTCCTGAATCCTGATACTCTATTATGTTCTGTATTGCAGCTGAAAAACTCATCCTTACCAGTGGCATGCACTTTTTTCACCTATATTTTTAGTTTAAATAGAAGTCAATTTTACTTGAAAAGTGCATTTTTAGTTGTTAAAAAGTTTTTAATGGTTAATGGATTTTTACCCATACTTATATTTAGGATATTTATTTATTTATATTTAATGATATATCTGTTATCTATATAATTTATCTGCGGAATACATAATTGCAAAATGTAGTTTTTTTTTGTTGTATTTTTCACTTCTTAAGTGTTATATTTGTTTTTGTCCTGTTTATGCTGCTGTAACTTCTAAATTTCCCCTTGGGGATAAATAAAGTTTTAATCTATCTTAGTAAACGATGATTACTCGGTTTGGGGTGTGACTTCCTGTTTTCTGAGTATGAAATATATTGAAGTGTGTTTCTGGTGACGTGTGTGTGTGTCGTCAGGAGTCAGCGTTCACTGGCTGGGGGACTTTGTGTTTGTGGAGAGCGGTTTGGGCGTCAGACTGAAGTTCGACATGGAGAACACCGTCTACCTGACCGTTACCGCAGAACACCTCACGGCCACTAGGGGGCTTTGCGGAGTTTACAACAACAACCCAGATGGTGAGAACATTTGATCGGATATATGAAGTTACCAAATTCTGACATATTATATCCTTTCTACTTAATTTTTAGTGTGTGTTTTCATGCATTTCTACACTGAAAGGAAACTATTTTCATACAGAAATTGTGTAACATTGAGTTAATTGAAGTAAAAAGAATTCAATAGTGTTTCAATGTAAAAAATGGCTTAAATTATTGTTGTTCTATTTACCATTTTGAAAACAAATTGCATGTTTTTCATGCATTGTGCAATGCAACATTTTAATTTTATACAGATGACTTCACTACCAGCGGTGGAAGTGTGTCTCAGTACGCCGCCAGTTTTGGAAACTCCTGGCGTGTACAAGATCAGCAAGGCCAGGTGGGACACCACGACTTTAAGTATTTAGAAACGATTGATTGATCTTAACATGTAACACAGGTGTGTAGTGATGCTGTTGTGTTGTGGTGTTGTGTTACACAGGTGTGTAGTGATGCTGCTGAGTTGTGTTGTGGTGTTGTGTAACAGGTGTGTTGTGTTGTGTTGTGGTGTTGTGTAACACAGGTGTGTAGTGATGCTGCTGAGTTGTGTTGTGGTGTTGTGTAACAGGTGTGTTGTGTTGTGTTGTGGTGTTGTGTAACACAGGTGTGTAGTGATGCTGTTGTGTTGTCATGTCATGTTGTGTAACACAGGTGTGTAGTGATGCTGCTGAGTTGGGCCACAGCTGTGATCTCTCGAGTGACGTTAGTCTTCGCCGTGACGCAGAAACAGCATGTCATCGTCTGAAGGAAAACCCCTTCTCACACTGCCATCACCAGGTCAGATTATAATGATAATAGAATAATAATAATAATAATTAGTTACATTTATATTATACTTTTCTGGGGACTCAAAGCGCTTTACATAGAATGGGGAAATCTCCTCAAGGTTACAGGAAACTTACACTAGGACCAATGTTGGGGAAAGCTACTTTGAAAAGTAATGCATTACTTTACTAGTAACTTGAAAAAGTACTCTGATTACATGTAATGAGTCCCACACAACACTGCTCCTGACTAACATCTGGCCTCGCTCAGGTGGACCCCGGGCCGTACATCGACACGTGTCTGTATCTGTTCTGCAGTCTGGAGGCGAGCGAGAGAGAGACGGCGGTGTGCGATACGCTAGCCGGCTACGTGCGCGAGTGTGCGACGCAACACGTCATCATCCGCTGGAGAAACGCCGGCTTCTGTGGTAACAGTCACAAGATCTAATTCCTCCTAAACTGACCTCTGGTGGCCAGAAAAAAATCTCATAGATAACATTACAATATAGTTTATAAATATAAATATATATATATACAGTATGTATATATATGTATGTATATTTGTATATATATATATATGTGTATATATGTACATATGTATGTATATATATATATATACTGTATATATATATATTAATTCCTTAAAGTTGAACCAAGTTTTTTGCATTAAAAAAATACTTTGAAATCCTTGAAAAAAATCCTTTGAAAAAATTGTTTGCAGTTTAATGTTATTATTTTTGTAATTTAGTTTTTATGTATTTCAGATGCATGTATTATGGATACATGGATAAAACATAGTTAAAAATAAAAAAATAAATAGATAAAAATAGGTGAACAAGAGAAATACAGCGATATCTCTCTCGAATAAATAAAAATGAAATTAGATTAAAATAAATAAATGATTAAAAATGTATACATCAAAATTACATTAAAATAAATAAATAACATTTAAATTAAATTATATTACATGAAAAAAAGTTTAAAATAAATAAATTAAAAATAATTCACCATATTTATTTATTTAAAATAAATACATAGATTGAAACAAATAAATAAATAAATACAAATTACATTAAAATAAATTAGAAAAATAAATAAATGATTAAAAATAATAAACCTGTCTCTAAATAAATTATATATCAAAATGTTTATTTTAACGTAATGTATATAATAATGTATTTATTATATATTTATATATTTTTATAATTTATATATATATATATATATATATATATTTTAATTTCTATTTATATATGTCTATTTCTCTCTTTCTGTGCATGCATGTATTGTGTTTAACGATGATAATGCCTGTTATCTGCAAAGGTAAAAACACACTAACCCGCTGCTGTTGTTTGTGTGTGCAGAGCGTGTGTGTCCGCGCGGTCAGGTGTTCTCGGACTGCGTGTCGTCCTGTCCTGCGAGCTGCTCGTCTCCCGGTCCCGCGGCGTCGGGTCAGTGTCGGGACGAGTGTGTGGGGGGGTGTGAGTGTCCCCCGGGGCTGGTCCTGCACGCGGGTCAGTGTGTGCGGCGGGCCGACTGTCCCTGTTTCCACCGGCGCCGCACATACAGCGCAGGAGACGCCATCACACAGAGGTGCAACACATGGTGGGTCCCACGGCACACACTCTGCCCGATATTACAATCACGGGAGATTAGATGAGATGATAATAACCCTTTCAAATCTAAACTTGCACCAATTGGAGCCTGTTTCAGAGTTTGCGTCCTCAAACCTCTAAACACTGTTGTTGTGCGAATGAACGGCCTGAACAAGTTGCTTTTAACACAGCAGGCTAAGTTAATAACCAATGATTGGTGTGAGTCTCTTCTGCAGCGCCTCTAGTGGCCAGTGGAGGAACTGCAGTTTAAGTCTCAGACACCGGAGGGTCTCCGCTTGATTCTCACTGGTGTGTGTGTGTGTGTTGTAGTGTGTGTGGAGCCGGTCAGTGGGAGTGTTCTGGAGAGAGATGTGAAGCTCAGTGCACTGTGATCGGAGCGATGCACGTCACAACATTCGACCAGAAGAGATTCAGCCTTCAGAGCGCAGACTGCCAGTTCACAGCCGTCGAGGTCAGTCACTGAGGAGCACACCTGTGTGTGTGTGTGTGTGTGTGTGTGTGTGGAGTGATTTGAGATCATCTGTGTGTGTGTTTGCAGGATTTCGTGGACCGGAAGTTGAGCGTGGGCATCAGCGCAGGACAGTGTTCAGGAGGATCTGCTGGGTGTCTGAGAGAGCTGAGAGTCACTGCGCTGAAGACTACACTCACTGTCACTGACTCAGGTCATACATCTCTCTCTCTATCTGTCCATCCGCCCATTCATCCTGCTGTCTCTCCATTTTTCCATCCATCCAACCATCCAACCCTCCGTCCATCCATCCATCCGTTCGTCCATCCATCCATCTATCCAGCTCTCCACCCATCGATCCAGCTCTCCATCCATCCGTCCGTACATCCATCCATCTATCCAACCCTCTGTCCATCCATCCATCCATCCATCCATCCATCCGTCCGTGCGTACGTCCATCCATCCATCCATTTATCCGTCTGTTTGATCAGCCATCACTCCATCCATCCATCTATCCATCCATCCATCCATCCATCCATCAGTTTCTCCATCCATCCATCTGACCAGCCAGCCATCCATCCACCTGTCTGACCATCCATCCATCCGTTCGTCCATCCATCCAACTCTCCACCCATCTGTCCATCCGTCCGTGCGTACGTCCATCCATCCATCCATCAGTTTCTCCATCCATCCGTCTGACCAGCCAGCCATCCATCCATCTGTCTGACCATCCATCCAACCGTTCGTCCATCCATCTGTCCAACCATCCATCCATCAGTTTCTCCATCCATCTGTCCGACCATCCATCAAACCCTCGTCCATCCATCCATCCATCCATCCGTTTGTCCATCCATTTATCCGTCTGTCTGACCATCCATCCATCAGTTTCTCCATCCATCCATCTGTCCAACCAGCTATCCATCCACCCATCCATCCGTCCATCCGTCCATCTACCCATCCATTCTTGATTCATCCAAAGTTAGTTTAATTTAAATGATTTTGATTTATTATTTTGTCTAGATGATTTTGTCTGTTTAGTTTATCTAGTGCATTCATTCATTCATTCTATCTTATCCAGATCTTATGTAATTGTATCTTATCTTCCACAAAGCTTTACCATTCAATATAAAACAGTCAGATATTGCCACAAGAACATAAAACAACATAACAAAACTCGATAAGAGGACTGTAAATGTGTGATGTCAGGCTCAGTGCTGGTGAACGGTCAGCGAGAGCTTCTGCCGGTGGTCACAGGAGATCTGATGGTCCGAAAGTCTTCCTCCAGTGTTCTGCTGATCCAGGCGTTCGGGGCTCGACTGATGTGGCATCTGGACGGGCCTCTCCTCCTCATCACCCTACAGCCCGGCTTCGCTCATAAGGTACCACAATAACACACACATCTCTCCAGTCTTTATTCATTTAAAGATTCTGATTATAGAATATGGATTCTTAAGGCCCGATAAAGATATAGTTCTAAAAATCGTTCTCAGTAATGTGATTTCACTTTTCTAACTTTAGTTAGTGTGTAATGTTGCTGTTTGAGCATACACAACATCTGCAAAGTTACGACGTTTAAAGTTCAAAGCAAAGGGAGATATTTTATTTGACAGAAATCACTTTTTAAGAACTACAACAAACGACTGATATGGACTACACGAGCTTCCTCCCCTGGTTAGTGACATCACAATCCCCAACATTTACATAAAACCGCCTCGCAACTAGGGCTCTATATGTCTAAGAATGAGCTGTTGTAGCTCCGCCCCCTGTGCCGGGAGCAGAAGCTCATTTGCATTTAAAGAGCCCACACACAAAACAACGCATTTTTGCTCACCCTCAAAAAATTACGATTTTAACATGCTATAAACAGTCCCTCCAGGATTTCACGATTTTGTTTTGTGATTTTTGCGATCAAATTGACTGATTTTGTGGTGGTAATTTCCAAAAATTTGCGATTTATATTTAACATTTACCATACTAGTATTCAGTCCTTCCAGAAAAACGTGGAGTTTTTTTTGTGATTGTTGTGGGCAGAAATTGATTGATTATGCGGCCCGTTTTCTTTAAAAATGCGATGGAATATGCGGGATATTTATGCAATTTTATGCGATGAAATTGCAAAAATTGAGGGAACTTGCAAAAATTGCGGTTCGATCAAAAAGAGAAAAAAAGTGATTCCCCCAACATCCTGTTAATGTAAGAGTCATTTCTTATTACTTCCTTTGATAAGCAAGCATACTACATCATAGAAAGCGCTGGGAATATTTAATTTCTCATCTTGTTTTATTTCAGACTATAACGAGTGTAAATAAGGTGTGGCCCCTTTAAGAGCTGCACGCTCCCTGTTGAACTCTCTGCAGTGTTATATGTGCGCCTCGAACACCCCATGTGTGCGGGTAATTTCTATTTGATGCTACTTCTTTTATCTTATGTTGTTTATTAAGTAACGATGTGACGGTAGAACGTGTGACAGACAGAATACGAGTTCGATTTGTGAGATGTCAATCGCCTCCGTGAGTCTGTCTGGCGTCGCGTAATTGGGTCACTTCATAACGTTCCCATGGAAACAGAGGGAAATGGCTGCTCTCGTGTGAAGCAAACGCAACATTTTTCAACTTTCTGCAAAGATACATCTGACTGTTTTGCAACGAAAATGCGAGGATTATGAAATTATGCAAACCCCGCATATTTTGCATGGAAATCGGCAATTTATGCGGCGAAACTGCGGCGTATTTTAAAAAATGCGGCCCCCGCATAAATATGCGGACTTTGGCTGATTTTGCATTGAATTCAGCGATCGCATAATCGCGTTTTTCTGGAGGGACTGTTTAAAAAATGATCTGTGGGGTATTTTGAGCTAAAGCTTCACATACACACTCTGGGGACAGCAAATATTGTTATCGTTATAGTTATCGTTCTTAATGTGGACATAGTTATCGTTCTTGGTGTGAACGGCCCTTAACAATAAAATTTGTTTGCTGAAGCGAACTCAACTAACAGGTTGGTCATGTGACCGTTTGTTGTGACGTCAGGTTCGAGGATTGTGTGGCACTCTGACCTGGAGTCAGCATGATGATTTCACCACACCCGAGGGGGACGTCGAGAACAGCGTGTCCTCGTTTGCCGCCAAATTCAGAACGGGCTCCTGCCCTTTGCCCTTAGCGATGACCTCTGACCCCTGCGGGATGTACACCCAGCGGAGACAGTACGCAGAGAGTGTGTGCTCTGTGATTCACAGCTCAGTGTTTCAGGTCAGTGTGCTTTGGGCTTCATTTACATTTCCTACTTTATCCAGAACAGTAGCTAGAGGGCCACTATCTGCAAGTCCAGTTAGTCGAGCACAGTGAACAACAAATCAAGGTTTTTCTTTTTTGGTTTAGCAGAAAAAACCCCACAACAAATAGAATAGTACAGAAGCGAACAGAAAAGGTAAGTGCTTGTATTAACTGGTCAGGTGCTGATGGGAAAGGTGTGTGTCTTGCAGGCGTGTCATGACGTGGTGGACCGAGAGCCGTACATGCGTGTGTGTCTCAGTGAAGTGTGCGGCTGCGACCCGCTGAAGTCGTGCCAATGCACCGTCCTCGCCGCTTACGCCCGCCAGTGTGCCCAGGAGGGGGCGCCGCTCAGCTGGAGGAATCGCACATTCTGCTGTAAGAAACGCTTTAATGTGAAGATTATTAGTGCTGGGCAACCATTAATCGTGATTATTTGCTTAATGATTTTGTATATATAAATACACTAAATATGCATGTATATATTTAAGAAACATTTGCATGTATATTTATACATAATTTATCCCATATATAAATATATTTTATACATTAATAACACTTTAATATATACATGCATGTGTGTATTTACATATACAAAATATGTACACACGTATGTATTATGTAAAAATTTACTTTTATTTTGTATGCGATTTTATATTTGCAATATTATTGAATCTTATTGTGATTATTTGTTAAATATTGAAGTGTGTTTTCCTCTGCTGCAGCGGTGCGGTGCTCTGGAGGACAGGTGTATCAGGAGTGCGGGCGTCCGTGCGGGTCGTCCTGTGCCGATCTGTGGAGCGGCTGGAGCTGCGAGGGCGACGAGGGCCGAGGGAACTGTGTGCCGGGGTGTCAGTGTCCCGCCGGACTGGCACAGGACACTCAGGGTCAGTGTGTGCCCGTCCACATGTGTCCCTGCACACACGGAGGCCAGATCTATCCCGCGGGGAGCACCAGACAGAACAACTGCAACACCTGGTAGGAAAAACACAGCCACAGAATCTCACTCCTGACGGGCGATGTGAAGGGGTTAAAGGTCAGGCTGGTGAAAGGGTTAACGATCAGGGTAGTGAAGGGGTTAAACGTCAGGGTGGTGAAGGGGTTAAAGGTCAGGGTGGTGAAAGGGTTAACGATCAGGGTAGTAAAGGGGTTAAACGTCAGGGTGGTGAAGGGGTTAAAGGTCAGGGTGGTGAAGGGGTTAAAGGTCAGGGTAGTGAAGGAGTTAAACGTCAGGGTGGTAAAGGGGTTAAAGGTCAGGGTGGTGAAAGGGTTAACGGTCAGGGTGGTGAAGGGGATAAAACTCAAGGTAGTGAAGGGGTTAAAGGTCAGGGTGGTGAAGGGGTTAAACGTCAGGGTGGTGAAGGGGTTAAAGGTCAGGGTAGTGAAGGGGTTAAACGTCAGGGTGGTGAAGGGGTTAAAGGTCAGGGTGCTGAAAGGGTTAACGGTCAGGGTGGTGAAGGGGATAAAACTCAAGGTTGTGAAGGGGTTAAAGGTCAGGGTGGTGAAAAGGTTAAAGGTCAGGGTGGTGAAGGGTTATAGCTCAGGGTGGCAAAGGGGATAAAGATCAGGGTGGTGAAGGGGTTAAAGGTCAGGGTGGTGAAGGGGATAAAATTCAGGGTAGTGAAGGGGTTAAACGGCAGGGTGGTGAAGGGTTAAAGCTCAGGGTGGTGAAGGGAATAAAGGTCAGGGTGGCAAAGGGATTAAAGGTCAGGGTGGCAAAGGGGTTAAAGGTCAGGGTGGCAAAGGGGTTAAAGGTCAGGTTGGCGAAGGGGCTAAAGGTCAGGGTGGCGAAGGGGCTAAAGGTCAGGGTGGTGAAGGGGCTAAAGGTCAGGGTAGTGAAGGGGTTAAAGGTCAGTATTTATTCCTCATGGTAGTGATATTATCTAGGTTATGCTGGGTGTTTTTCTTTATGCACAGAATGGGTCTGTCTGCCCATCAAGGGTTTTTATGGTGGTGTTATGAAAAGCTTCATCTCTGTTTTATGGTTCTTTATGGTTTTGGGGCTGATTTTTATCACATGCACTCTGATAACACATCATAAAATCACCTTTGTACTCAAACTAATGTATGTGGACTAAAGAGAAATCACTGACTAACAGAAACGAATGTGAAGGGCAATAAACATCTAGTTTATATTCCTATGTTTATTTATCAAATATGTCTTAAATCAAACATTTACATGTTTCTATGATCTGATATTGAAAATTAAGTAATTGCATTAATTACCTAGATTTCCTTTTTCTGATGACAATATGATCTGTGATTCTGTTCTGTGAGGTTGCTAGGGTGTTCTGATGATGATGATGATGATGATGATTGATAGGGAAATTTAAGGCATCCAGTAGCTTAGACAACAGATTTCCACATCTATCACACATACAATATAAATAAAAAAAAATAAAATAATAATAATACTAAAAAACATGCATACACATAACTAAATATATTAAAATGTCTTAAAATTCCTAATAATATTAACTATGACTATGGATATGTGAGGTTGCTAGGGTGTTCTGTGAGGTTGCTAGGGTGTTCTGTGAGGTTGATATGTTATGAACTGACATGTTTCTCAGTTCTCAGAGTGTGTGTTTAACTGTCAAACACTCGTTACATGTTGACCTTTCTCGTCTCCTCTTCTTCCCCGAGAGAGCGTCCTCTGTCCGACCTCCTGACTGCACAAGTGCACATATAATAAAAGAAAGAGATTTATGATGGCTGTGTTGTAAAGCAGATAGAATGAAAGAGAAGAAAACATGCATTTCCTCTGGCCTTCCCTACAGTTTTTGATAAGCATCACGTTTAGTGCTCAGACTGTTAGTGATGTGTTCAAACCTTCAACAACACGCAATAAAACCTTCTTTTGTGCTCCACTCATGAATCATTCCTCAAATCACACGTCTGGTCAAACACACGTATGCCAGCAGTTTAGTAGAACTTGAACTGATTATTTTCAGTCTCCGCCTGTGTTTGCAGTGTGTGTGCGCGTGGCGTGTGGAACTGCACAGATCTCTCGTGTCCGGAGGTCCATCAGTGTCCAGGATCTCTGGTCTTCTCTCCTCGGTCGTGTCTGAGGACGTGCTCCAGTCCCATCTCTCCTCTGGACGCCTGTGCTGAGCCCATCCACGGCTGTGTGTGTCCGGACGGGACGGTGCTGCTGGTGTGTGTCTACAGCGCCTTCTAAACACACCGTCATACGGCTTCACATTAGCCAACAGAAATGTCTTCTAGAATCAATGTTTCCAAAACATAATGTTCTCGGAATGTTCAAAACGGACAGTTTTTTAAATGCGTTTCCTTGGTTACGCAAACATTCCATTTTGAAACGTTGTTGGAATGTTACATTGTAGAAACATTGAAACATTTTAAAAATGTTGAATGACATCCAACGAAGCCCTAAAATTTTTTCAGAAAGCTTATTTTATTTCATATTGATAATAATTTTTCTACTTTTTAATGCAATTTATTTGGATTTTGTAATTTTTTTTTTTTAATATTTACTTGTTATTTTCTATTTTATTCACCTTTTTAATTACTAGATTTAATCAATAAACAATAAATAAATAGTAATTTAGAAGCACATTCTTTCAACTTCAATTCAAAATTACTCACAATTTCAAGCTTAACCCTTTTAATTCAGCTCTAAATATCTTACACTGTGTGTCTTTGCCAATCCTCTTGTGTAAATATTAATATAAGATGATATTTCATGACTCTAGATGGGCTTATATCTCTAAATGGAGTAAATGAGCTGTTCCGCTGGGTCCTAAAGCCAGTTTTTCTTCAGTATGCATTCAGATACACATGTAGATGTTATAAAATAAGTTTTAGCATTTTTATTTAACGTTTTGAGCATTTCTTGATTCCATTCATTCCTATGGGGGTCAAATTGACTAGCGAGGGAAGGATTTTTTTTTTTTTTCAAATGCATTTATTTTCTTTTGTGTGTATATTAAATATATTACCTGACATTAAAATAAAGCCAGAAAACATAATTAAATTAGCTGAATTAGCACAACAGACTGAGATAGTCACATTGGTTCTCATTCTAAATCATTATAACCTTTATGGGTGGATTCATCTTTTTGTTTTCTGTCTTCAGGGTGATCAGTGTGTGAAGCCAGACGAGTGTCCATGTCATCACAACGGCAGACTTTATTTCACCAATGACACCATTTCTAAAGACTGCAACACATGGTGAGCAGAAACAACTCATCTGAGTCTGTAACGAAAGCTTTAGTGACTGAAAGTTCTTATGATGTAAAGCCCAATCCACAACACATCGAGCCAATCAAATCTGGATGACGATAGCGCCGCCCTACTTTTGTTCTTGTTCGAGAAGCCGTTTCTCTGGGATATACTGATTTTTCATGTTCAACAAATTAAGTCTTCATTACTTCATTGAGTGCTGCATTCAATTATTACATTGTTTAAATGAATCCCTTTTTCACTAACTGTGATTTTGTATATGTACAATATCTGACTCGAGCGCTGACCTGAACCTGTTGTGTGCCGACAGTGTGTGTGGCGAGCAGCGCTGGCACTGCGGTCAGGCGTTTTGCTCGGGAACCTGCGTGGCCACGGGCGACCCTCACTACATCACGTTTGACGGGCGGCACTTCTCGTTCCTGGGCGACTGCGAGTACGTGCTGGCGCAGGAGTCCAGCGGGCTGTTCAGTGTGAGCGCAGAGAATGTGCCGTGCGGGAGCACAGGGGTCACCTGCACCAAATCTGTCACGCTCACCGTCGGGAACACCGCCATACATCTGCTGAGAGGTCACACACACACACACACACACACACACTAGAGTTATATCTATAATATGATATATATATATATATATATGTATACAGTGATATGAATAGGTTTTGGCCCCCATGCTAAAGTTGCCTAAAAAGAGGAATAAAAAATCATCTTTTGGATATTGATCTTAATGCCTTAATTAAAAATAATTAGGAAAAATCAAACCTTTTAAGGACACCAATTTTCTTTGTGAATGAATAATGTATCATAAATAAATAAATGTTTTTCCTTAAAATACAGGGTGCATAAGTCAGGACACCCCTATGTTTAATTCCCATAGAGTCAGGCAGATTTTTATTTTTAAAAGCCAGTTATTTCATGGATCCAGGATAATATGCATCCTGATAAAGTTCCTTTGGCCTTTGGGATTAAAATATCCCCACATCATCACACACCATTCACCACACCTAGAGATTGGCATGGTTTTACTTCAGTTAGCCTAATAGCTGGTTTGATTTGCATTGTGTGTGATGATGTGGGATATTTTAATCCCAAAGGCCAAGCGAACTTTATCAGGATGCATATTATCCTGGATCCATGAAATAACTGGCTTTTAAAAGTAAAAATCTGCCTGACTCTATGGGAATTTAACATAGGGGTGTCCTGACTTATGCACCCTGTATTTTAAGGAAAAACATTTATTTATTTATGATACATTATTCATTCACAAAGAAAATTGGTGTCCTTAAAGGTTGGAGTTTTCCTCATTTTTTTAATTAAGGCATTAAGATCAATATCCAAAAGATGATTTTTTTATTCCTCTTTTTAGGCAACTTTAGCATGGGTGTCCAAATTTATTCACATCACTATATATATATATATATGAAGAGTTCAGATGCAAAAGCCTCTAAGTGCCATTTGAAATTTTCTTCTAAAATGATCATTTTTATCAAGCTTGTATATTTAAGTTCAGTAATTTCACTTAAATGGCAATGAGGATTACCTATTAATTGCCATTTAAGTGAAATTACTGAACTTAAATATACAAGCTTGATAAAAATGATCATTTTAGAAGAAAATTTCAAATGGCATTTAGAGGCTTTTGCATCTGAACTCTTCATATATATATATATATATATATACTGTATATGTAATACTTTATTTTTATAGACTAGATTTATTAAAAAGAATCTTTTTTTTTCGTAAAAAGTGTTTTATTAACATCTGCATGTTGATTTGTTTTTGCTCTACATTGATGTAAAGAGGCGATTCAGATTCCTGAGAGTGATATTTAGATGTTTCTGTCCGGTTCTCTCAGGGAAATCCGTGACGGTGAACGGGATTCCCGTGACTCTCCCGAAGGTGTATTCGGGCAGCGGGCTGATCCTGGAGCGGGTCGGGCTGTTCGTGTCCCTCTCGTCTCGGCTCGGAGTCTCTCTGCTCTGGGACGGAGGTTCGTCTGCGATCGTTTGTTTTTCATTGATCTTGCTTTTGTGATAAAGCTATGAGTGTGTGCATGTTTATGTGTGTATAACTATGAGTGTGTGGCTCTGCATCTGTGTGTCTGCGCAGGCATGCGTGTTTACGTGCGGATAACTCCTCATTTGCGCGGCCGGGTTGGAGGATTGTGTGGGAATTTCGACGGAGACGCAGAGAACGACTTCACTACAAGACAAGGCATCATGGAGTCGACCCCGGAACTGTTCGGAAACTCCTGGAAGATCAGCCCTTCGTGTCCTGATGTCCCAGACCAGGATCTCCGCGACCCCTGCGCTGTGAGTACTCTCAAATTACGGAAGATCGAAAGTTCACCTTAAGTTTAGGCATAAAAGCAAATTTTTGTAATTCCCGAGTCAGTAAGTAAGTATAATTTCATTTATGTAGCACAATGTTTACAAAGTGCTTTATACAAAACATTTAATGTCATGCAGTAGAGCTACACGATTCATTAAATGAATTGAGAATCGCAATTTTCTTGTTTTTAAACAGATCTTGATTCTTCCATGATTCTGAACAGACAACTAAACAAAATAACATGATTGCTGCAGTCTATTTGAATGAATGATTCAATGACTCACTCAAAGACTTCTCTTATTTCATCACTGGACGAATCAGCATTTTTAAAACGAATATCAATGACTCACTCAAAGACTTGTTTCATTACTGGATGAATCAGCATTTTTAAAACGAATATCTTAAATTAATGATTCAATGACTCACCCAAAGACTTGTTTCATTACTGGACGAATCAGCGTTTTTAAAACGAATCTCTCGAATTAATGATTCAATGACTCACTCAAAGACTTGTTTCATTACTGGATGAATCAGGTTTTTTGAACGAATCTCTTAAATTAATGATTCAATGAGTCACTCAAAGACTTGTTTCATTACTGGATGAATCAGGTTTTTTGAACGAATCTCTTAAATTAATGATTCAATGACTCACTCAAAGACTTGTTTCATTACTGGACGAATCAGCATTTTTCAAACGAATCTCTCGAATTAATGATTCAATGACTCACTCAAAGACTTGTTTCATTACTGGACGAATCAGGTTTTTTGAAGGAATCTCTCGAATTAATGATTCAATGACTCACTCAAAGACTTGTTTCATTACTGGATGAATCAGCATTTTTAAAACGAATCTCTCGAATTAATGATTCAATGACTCACCCAAAGACTTGTTTCATTACTGGACGAATCAGGTTTTTTGAACGAATCTCTCGAATGAATGATTCAATGACTCACTCAAAGACTTGTTTCATTACTGGACGAATCAGGTTTTTTGAAGGAATCTCTCGAATTAATGATTCAATGACTCACTCAAAGACTTGTTTCATTACTGGACGAATCAGGTTTTTTGAAGGAATCTCTCGAATTAATGATTCAATGACTCACTCAAAGACTTGTTTCATTACTGGACGAATCAGGTTTTTTAAACCAATCTCTCGAATGAATGATTCAATGACTCACTCAAAGACTTCACTTGTTTCATTACTAAATGAATCAGGTTTTTCGAACGAATCTCTCGAATGAATGATTCAATGACTCACTCAAAGACTTGTTTCATTACTGGACGAATCAGGTTTTTTAAACCAATCTCTCGAATGAATGATTCAATGACTCACTCAAAGACTTCACTTGTTTCATTACTAAATGAATCAGGTTTTTCGAACGAATCTCTCGAATGAATGATTCAATGACTCACTCAAAGACTTGTTTCATTACTGGACGAATCAGGTTTTTTTTAAACCAATCTCTCGAATGAATGATTCAATGACTCACTCAAAGACTTGTTTCATTACTGGACGAATCAGGTTTTTTAAACCAGTCTCTCGAATGAATGATTCAATGACTCACTCAAAGACTTCACTTGTTTCATTACTAAATGAATCAGGTTTTTCGAACGAATCTCTCGAATGAATGATTCAATGACTCACTCAAAGACTTCACTTGTTTCATTACTAAATGAATCAGGTTTTTTGAACGAATCTCTCTGAGATGAATGATTCAATGACAAATCCAACAGCACATATGTATTGCAGTGATGTGTTTTCGAGTGTCCTGTAAATGGTGAATGCCCTTTCAGATCAACCCTCACCGCGTGACGTGGGCCAAGAAGAAGTGTGCGGTGATCAGCCAGGAGATGTTCGGCTCGTGTCACTCAGAGGTGCCGTACCAGCAGTACTACGACTGGTGTGTCTTTGACGCCTGCGGGTGAGGAACTGGAGGTTTTAAAGTTAAAGTTCGCCTCATGGTATGATTGTACTGGTACTGATGTTTGGTGTGTTGTGCAGGTGTGACTCTGGCGGCGACTGCGAGTGTTTGTGTACGGCTGTGGCTGCGTATGCGGAGGAGTGTAACCGCAGAGGAGTGTACGTGCGCTGGAGGTCACAGGAACTCTGCCGTGAGTCGTCACCTTTAATTATATCGAGATTTTTACAACACGGATCGTTTCAAAGCAGCAGGAAACTAATAATCAGTAACAGAAAAATAATGCAATAAAGTTTTTCTAGAAGAAAATAGTGCTGTAGTCCAGCTTAAGTAAATTCAGTGATGGTTCAATTTTGTTTTTCAAATTTGTATTAATTTAGTTCATCTAAACAGCTGCCCTGAAGAAAACAGTGATGTCATCGTCCAGCTCAGTTCAGTTCTCATATGATGATGTCAATGCAGGCACATCAAATAATATTGTTGAATATTAAATGTTAAATGTCCCCAACTAAGCAAGCAGAAACCCAAAGGCGAAGGACAGAGTGGAACCAAAGCAGTCGCTCAGTTCTCCTCTGGCCACCGAACAAACAGTGTATGATTATGATTATGATTATGATTCAGGCAGCATTTACAGGTCAGAAGTCAGAATAACAGAATACATTTTTTTTTTAACAAGTACAATTTTACTGTGTTTATTAATGTTTTTACTCAACATTTGTGTAGTTTTTGGAGTTTTTTCTATAAATAAATAAATAAATATTTATTTAAATAGGATTTTTACAAAAAAAAAAAACAGCATTTTATGTTAAATGAACTTTATAAAAGACCCAGATTTCTACCATGGATAATTTTACAAGGTTGAATGTAAGATTTTTGCCCATTTTTTAGAAAATACAGGTTAAAATTTGTAATAAGTCACTTTAACCACTAGATGGCTATAGAGCTCCACTAGGCCTATATACTATTTGATTTACTGAAAGATATAGTTTCTAAAGTTGGATTCATATCTAAATATTATAAAATCACAATTATAACAAAAATAAAATACTTTTTGTCAAAGTTTAGCATTTGTTTTTGTACTGAAAAAACAATAGTTTTTCAATAATGTTACATTATGATTAGAATCAAACCTGAACAACATGTTACAGAGAGAAATGTTGGAGTCTTAAGACAAGAGTTGATCATTTATTTCAACTGAACAGCAATAACAAATTAGCAAATAAAGCAGTAAAAATAAAATATTTTTTAAGTAAATTGTAAATTGGGAAGAAAATCGAACAACTAGGAACAATAGTTTGGAACAATAGAACAATAGTTGGTCTCATCTCTTTTAGCTTTTTTATAGCCTTACAAATGTATTCCTGTGTGTGTGTGTGTGTGTGTGTGTGTGTGTGTGTGCACATTTTCGATGTGTCTTAGTGTTACCAATTTATTTTTGCGGTGGTTCTGCATTTTAGAGTATTTTATTTTACAAATGATAGTTTTTATAGTCTGTATTTATTCCTGTATATTGTATTTCTCTATATGTGTGTGTTTGTGTGTGCGCGCGTGTGTATGATAATTTTGGATTGTGGATGTTTTTTGCATTGTTGGAAGTGTGGCATTTGATTTCTGTCATTTCTGTCTGTGTTCTGCGTTATTTCTGATTCTGATGATGAATACCCAGATACCCGGATCCGGCTGACTACATGAGTCTGCTCATTGAGTTATTATTGGTGTATGTAATAGTTTGTTGTGTTGTGTCTGCAGCGCTGCAGTGTGAGAATGGGCTGGTTTACGAGGCCTGTGGTCCCGCCTGTTCTCCAGCGTGTCCCAGCACTCCTTCCCTCTCTGATTCTCTGTGCCGAAGCCTCTCCTGTGTGGAGGGATGTTTCTGTCCTCACGGCACTGTTCGGCACGGTAACAAAAACCTGTTTTTTAAATTCCACTACACTTCTGTAAACATGTGTTTGAGCATCTCTGGTGGTCCTCCACTCTAAATCCCCAGTGCTCAAGTTTTAATCATGTGTGTATACATGCATTCTTCAGTTTGCAATAGTGTGACGTCACCGTCGGCCGGTTGCGGTTACACACACTGAGTGGCAGCATTAGTTTTCAGTGTTTTACTCGCGTTTTCTCAGTTTCCTCTATAAACCCAGTCACGCATGACGTCAATGCAAACCCTCTGTAGTTCCTTGTGTGATTATAGTCTGTGTCTGTGATCGGCAGGTGAGGTGTGTATTCCTCCGTCTCAGTGTCCGTGTGAGTGGGACGGGTCTTTATTCCCGGCAGGAGCCGCTGTCACTCAACACTGTCAGAACTGGTCAGTTTAGAGACTCACTGTATTATATTACAATTCTGGGGACGTTTTATGTTTATGTTGCGGGTCAAATTGACCCTATTTCAATACAATTCTGGAAAAATCACACCATGGAATACAAATAAATAAAAAAACATGTAAAAACAGTCATATGAATAATTCTCAAATATTACACACCAAAAACAAACATGAGAACAAATTATTTTTAAAACTTTATTTAATGCTTTTTTAGCCATTGAATATCATATTGTCACTTTATTTTTTATTTTAAATGTTTTTGTTTTATTTTTGTGTACTTATATTGTATATTGTATATTTATTATTTATAAGAATGACAAATAAAGATCAAATTCAAAACTCAAAATCATGTGTTCGATTCCCAGAGAAATCACCATTCCTGCGTTGTGTGTGTTCTCCAGCTCTTGCTCTGACGGCGCGTGGCGTTGCGTTGGGTCTCCGTGTCCTCCTCCGTCTCCCTGCGAGGACTCGGAGTTTCGCTGCTCGGCTGGATCTCAGCGCTGTATTCCCTCCGTCTGGCTCTGTGATAACGAAGACGACTGTGGAGACGGTTCTGATGAGGTCTGTCCGTTCACGTGTCCACCGGGTCGGTTCCGCTGCTCCACCGGAGCCTGTTTACCGCTGGAGCTCAGGTGTAACGGGCATCCCGACTGCGCTGACCAATCAGACGAGGACTTCTGTGAGCCGCACACGGCAGAACCCGGCTGTCCCGATGGAGAGTTCAGGTGTGCTAACGGGCGCTGTCTGCCGGTGAGGAAAGTCTGTGATGGGAGGCTGGATTGTGGATTTGCTGATGATTCTGATGAGTACGGTATGTTTGTGTATGTCTAGGTGGGTTAAAGAGATGAAAATTAGCCCATGATTTACTGTCCCTCAATCATCCTAGGTGTATATGACTTTCTTCTTACAGACGAATACAATCAGAGTTATATTAAAATATGTCCTGGCTCTTCCAAGCTTTATATTTTGAAGTTCATAAAATTGCATAAAAGTGCATCTGTCCATCATAAAAGTGCATCTGTCCATCATAAAAGTGCATCTATCCATCATAAAAGTGCATCTATTCATGATAAAAGTGCATCTGTCCATCATAAAAGTGCATCTATCATCATAAAAGTGCATCTATCCATTATAAAAGTGCATCTATCCATCATAAAAGTGCATCTATCCATCATAAAAGTGCATCTGTCCATCATAAAAGTGCATCTATCCATCATAAAAGTGCATCTGTCCATCATAAAAGTGCATCTATCATCATAAAAGTGCATCTATCCATTATAAAAGTGCATCTATCCATCATAAAAGTGCATCTGTCCATCATAAAAGTGCATCTATCCATCATAAAAGTGCATCTATCCATTATAAAAGTGCATCTGTCCATCATAAAAGTGCATCTGTCCATCATAAAAGTGCATCTGTCCATCATAAAAGTGCATCTGTCCATCATAAAAGTGCATCTATCCATCATAAAAGTGCATCTATTCATGATAAAAGTGCATCTGTCCATCATAAAAGTGCATCTATCCATCATAAAAGTGCATCTGTCCATCATAAAAGTGCATCTATCCATCATAAAAGTGCATCTATTCATGATAAAAGTGCATCTGTCCATCATAAAAGTGCATCTATCATCATAAAAGTGCATCTATCCATTATAAAAGTGCATCTATCCATCATAAAAGTGCATCTGTCCATCATAAAAGTGCATCTATCATCATAAAAGTGCATCTATCCATTATAAAAGTGCATCTATCCATCATAAAAGTGCATCTATCCATCATAAAAGTGCATCTGTCCATCATAAAAGTGCATCTATCCATCATAAAAGTGCATCTGTCCATCATAAAAGTGCATCTATCATCATAAAAGTGCATCTATCCATCATAAAAGTGCATCTATCCATCATAAAAGTGCATCTGTCCATCATAAAAGTGCATCTGTCCATCATAAAAGTGCATCTGTCCATCATAAAAGTGCATCTATCATCATAAAAGTGCATCTGTCCATCATAAAAGTGCATCTATCCATCATAAAAGTGCATCTATTCATGATAAAAGTGCATCTGTCCATCATAAAAGTGCATCTATCATCATAAAAGTGCATCTATCCATTATAAAAGTGCATCTATCCATCATAAAAGTGCATCTGTCCATCATAAAAGTGCATCTGTCCATCATAAAAGTGCATCTGTCCATCATAAAAGTGCATCTGTCCATCATAAAAGTGCATCTGTCCATCATGTCCATCATAAAAGTGCATCTATCCATCATAAAAGTGCATCTATCCATCATAAAAGTGCATCTATCCATCATAAAAGTGCATCTGTCCATCATGTCCATCATAAAAGTGCATCTATCCATCATAAAAGTGCATCTGTCCATCATAAAAGTGCATCTATCCATCATAAAAGTGCATCTATCCATCATAAAAGTGCATCTGTCCATCATAAAAGTGCATCTGTCCATCATAAAAGTGCATCTGTCCATCATAAAAGTGCGCAGAGCGCACAAGTGCTCCATCACAAGTGCGCTCTGGTGGGTTAATAAAGAGCTTCTGCTTCAGCGAAGCCATGCGTGTGTGTAAGAAAAAATCCCTTTAATTCCTATTAAACATTCTGTATCATGTTTGATACTGACGTGGTTAAATGATCAACATGATCAAAACTGCTGCCACAGTGCATCGCATATGATATAAAACAAAAATATGCAAAAAACTTAAACATTTTTGCAAACTTAAACAAAATTTGGGATATGCAAACTTAAATTTATTTGCAAACTTAATGTTTCGGGGGAATTCAATAAACTGATCCATTTAAAAAAAATCGGATTATTGTTTCAGATGTCAGGCTTTAAGGTAATCATGTCATCGTTTGCATGTCAATACAGCATGGTAAACGTTGTGGACTGATGCTGTGTGTGTGTGTGTGTGTGTGTGTTCAGACTGTGGGGCCGTGTGCCGGCCGGACGAGTTCCTCTGTTCCTCGGGCCGATGTGTTCTGTATCTGCACCGCTGCGACGGTCACGACGACTGCGGAGACTACAGCGACGAGAGAGAGTGTGTGTGTGCGCTCGGAGAGCTCCAGTGTCCCGGAGATCAGTGTGTGTCCGCAGAGAGAGTGTGTGACGGTCACAGAGACTGTCCGTCCGGCGTCGACGAGCTCATCTGTCCAGTCAAAGGTAGGAAAGTATGAATGCACTGATATGAACATTTTGGCCGATAACCGATAACCGGTTATATTTGACAGCCGATAACCGATATATCGGCCGATAAATCTAACATTTTTATATAATTTTTGAGAGCCTGATTAAAATAACTAAAGTCTCACAATTATAAAGGCATCATTTGCATTAAAATTTCAAGCAGTTCAAAACTATCCAAGGTCCATTATTTATCGGCTTAAATATATCAGGCAGATTTTCTTATCGGGCCGATACCGATAACATTGAAAGGTTATAAAACAGGATGTTTATTTCATCCGAAGCAGTTCAGGGTATACGTGTAATACGCACTGAATAATGATGTGTGGTTCCAGGTTGCAGTCAGTTTGAGTTCGGGTGTACGAGTGGCCAGTGTGTGCCGATCGCGTGGCGCTGTGACGGAGAGACCGACTGCCTGGACGGGAGCGATGAGAAACCGTGTTCCCGTACCTGTCAACCGGACCAGTTCCTCTGCCACAGCGGAGACCAGTGTGTCCAACACCAGCATCTGTGTGACGGGACGCCCCACTGCAGGGACGCCTCAGACGAGAGCCTGGACAACTGCGGTAAGAGCACACGTGTGGAGTGAGTTCACCTGCAGTTCCTCCACTGGCCACTAGAGAGACTCACTCCCATAGACCCGCATGTTAAAATGCCCAACTTTACAGCAGAATTAAACATGTTTACAGTCTGGTGCTAAAAGTGGTTTTGGTCTATATCGCTAATGTTGCCCTTCATGACGACTGTGGGGGGGGCATTTTTTTTATAACTCATCCGTTTAAATTATATTAAGCATTAAAGTTCTGCATTATTAAGGGCGTGGCCACTTGAGTGACAGGTGGATTTCCGCTGATGTGTGTTAGCGTCACGTCACCTCAGCTAATTATCCGGGAGTGACGCAGCCAAGATGGCGACGGCCGGCTCCGCCCACTTTGGGCTTCAAATACGCTCTTCAAAAACGCTACGAGTGACGGGTTCGGGTTCGAATGGGTTCGACGCCTCATTTCTTACCGTATAATTACAGAGAGCATGTGTACACCAGACTGACATGCACAAGTCAGGTTTTTGTTCTAGTGTTGTGTTCATCTGTGTTCCTCGTTCTCACCAGGTTCCTTACGGATTCCTCCCTGTCTGGACAGTTTCTCGTGTGATAATCGCACATGTGTGAACGTTTCACGTGTGTGTAACGGGGTTCCCGACTGCCCTAAAGGAGAGGACGAGATACTCTGCGGTTGGTTTCTCATAATATCTGCCCTTCACACTGAATTCATAGAAGTATTTATGCTGTATGCACGATAGCACAACAAAACCCAGATGAACGAGGCTCGGCCTGATCCACTTTCAACAGTGTTTCTCAGACATCGCTCACTGCACCTTTAACCCTCTGGGGTTGTTCGTTTCAGAGTCACACTCGGGGTGTTCGGGTCCAAATGGACCCAAAGGGTGGGATTCATATTTTTAAAAAAAATCATTTTTTTTACTCGTTCTTTATAATATTTTTTCTTTTCTTTTTTGGTGTTTTGAGAACATTTCAAAAATAAAAAAAAATTATAATTAGTATTAATGCAATAATTATGACAAAATTTCCTCTCATTGAACATTATAGAAAAAATATTTAATTTTTTTTTTTTAAAGCTGTATTTCATTTTAGAGTCAAGCCTAGGCCTCATAAAAGCAATTTTTGAAATGAGATGGATGCCATCTGGTGGACAAACTGAGCATTTTAAAAACGCAAAACGCATGTATAATCTGAATTTTTTAGTGTGTTTGTGTATAAAAGTGTGTTTTTGTGTGTGTGTGTGTCTGTTTTGCACTCTTGATGTTTTATAGATTCACCCCTTCACTGTTGTTTGCTTTTTTTCATGATCGTGGCTGATTTGTAGATTGTACGCACAAAAAAACTCACTATTTTCACATTTTTGCCAATTTCCCATTCATTTTCCATGCGGGTCCATTTAGACCCAAACACCCCATCTTTTTTACAACCACTTAGACTACTCACATCCTGTCCCCAATTTTTTTTGGGTGTTCAAATACCAAATACTAACAAAGTCACCAAATTTCGGACCATTCCGAGGAAGCTGTGATTTTTAAAAAAATTGTATTTAAATTCTTCGGGTCCATTTGGGCCGAACAACCCCAGAGGGTTAATAGCAGACGGCAAACCTGCAGAGCTTATAATAATAATAACAATAGAAGAGAAGGATATTGTCCGTAGGTGTGGACCGTAATATAGTTATGGTTATCTTTATATTTAAACTGTGTTTTATTCTCTCCCTCCAGATAAAGTCAGGCCCTCCACAGCGCCCCCTAGTGAGCGAAACACCAGTCACGTCTGTCCTGAGTTCACCTGTGCTGATGGGTCCTGCGTTCCCTTCAACACGGTACCGATTCTAATCTGGGTGGAATCAATGTTTTATTGTTTTATCAACGTTTTTAATGCAAATACACTACACTACCAGTAAAAGGTTTTTGATCGGTAAGATTGTTTTAAAGATGTTTTAAAAGAAATCCCTTCTGCTCACCAAGGCTGTTTTTATTTGATCAAAAATACAACAATGAAAAAAAAAACACAATAATATTGTGAAATATTTTTGCGATGTGAATCATCTGTTCTCAATGTGAATATACAGTAAAGTGTAATTTATTCCTGTGATTTTCAGCATCATTACTCCAGTCTTCAGTGTCACATGATCCTCCAGAAATCACTCTAATATGAGGATCTGATGATTTTTATTTCAGTATTATTTGATGAATAGAAATAAAAAAAAACAGCATTATCTGAAATACAAAGCTTTTATAACATTAAACCGTTCAAAAGTTTAGGGTCAGTAAGAATTTTTATTACATTTTTTGGGGGGAAAGAAAAAAAAAATCAATACTTTTATTCTTCAAGGATGAATAAAATTGACCAAAAGTGACAGTAAAGAAATTTATAATGTTACAAAAGATTCTATTTTAAATAAATGCTGTTTTTTGACTGTTTTCAACACTGATAATAATAATCATAACTGTTTCTTGATCATCAGATCCTCATATTAGAGTGATTTCTGAAGACTGGAGTAATGATGCTGAACATCACAGGAATACATTACACTTTACTGAATATTCACATAGAAAACAGTTAAAAATGCAGCCTTGGTGAGCAAAAGATAGTTCTTTTAAAAACATTAAAAATCTTACAGATCCAAAACTTTGGTCTGGTCGTGTATAAATAAATACATTCAAGAATAATCATTTAAGTGTCTATTTGACGGAGAGTTTTGAATGTTGTGTTTCCGTCTGTAGTTGTGTAACGGTGCAGCAGACTGTGTGTCGGACGGGTCCGATGAGACGGGCTGTGGTGTTTGGGGCCCCTGGAGCCCCTGGAGCCCGTGCAGCCGCAGCTGTGGATCCGGGACCGTGAGCCGGCAGAGACGCTGCCACCCAGAGGATCCAGACGGACACTGCAGAGGAGAGCAAACACAACGACAGCAGTGTTACTCCACCGCCTGCCCGGGTAAAACACACTCTGCTCATCACATAACACCATTTTGGACACAGAAACACAGACCTTTGGGACATATAGGGTACATTAGCTTGATTTAATTAATCAGAAATATTTCTTCCAGATAAAAGCTCTGCTGTTGTTCATAAACTCCAGTGGTGACGTTCACGTTCGCATCAGATACTCACGAACTAGGAGTTGATTGACAGCTCCTTCTTACAGTTGTAATAGTAATTGTAAGATATTGAGTTCTTGGTTCTGTCCAACAGTGGATGGCTACTGGCTGCCGTGGGTCACATGGTCGAACTGCAGTCAAGGTTGTGGTGGTGTTGAGGTCCGCCAGAGAGAGTGTTTCCCGCCACAGAACGGAGGCCGAACCTGCACTGAACTACCTGGAGAAACTCCCCTCACCGTCGACATCAGTAAGAGCCGAACACCCGACAGCGGATACACTGCTTAAACCAAATAAACCTTAACAGCCAATCAGAATCCACCAGATTTTAAAGGTGCAGTAAGCAGTTTCTGTGAAACACTGTTGATTTTTAAAATCACCAAAACGAACACCCGAAAGTCCTACCCGTAAATCTTGATAGCTCCGCCCCCAAATTCACAAACACTCCCCATCATGAGTGGACACACCCCTAGCTGCTGATTGGCTAAAAATGTGTTTTGGTGTTCGGTCTGATCCACTTCAACAGTGATGAAACCTTCACTGGTTACCAGTTTAGCATGTCTTTTGGTTTCACTGGGAAAGCTGGTCTACCTCCAGTTATAACCATCTTAGCCCAGCAGTTTTGCCCATTTAACCATCATCCTTCCCTTGGGTCATTTTGACCTGGAAATTTTGTTTGAAATTTGTTTCAAAGTTTTGTGGTTGAAATTTTAAGAAGTTGATAAAAAAGGTAAATAAAATTAAAAATAACAAAAAATCTCCCAAAAATTGCATTAAATAAATAAAAAAAAATTATCGAAATGAAACTAAATAAGCTTTCTGGACAAAAAAAAAATGTAAGTATAATTTTCGGGCTTCGGGTCATTTTGAGGGAGGGATGGAGCGGACCTGAACTGGTTTCTATCCCAGCAGTGTGTGTGTGTAATCTCAGATCAGTGTTCCACGACTGAACGCAGATGTGTTTTCCAGAACCCTGTCCTCAAGACGGTTGCGCTAACGTCTCGTGTCCGGCGGGTCTCGTCACACACACATGTGCGCCGTGCCCTCTGACCTGCGCTCACGTATCCGGGGCAACGACATGTGATCCCAACGCAGACTGTTTCACAGGTTTCTTTTCTCTCAATACTTCCCAGCTTCATGTCACTGAGAGTCTATATGATAATAAGATCTACGAACCATACAAGAACCATCATAAATAATTCATAATTATAATAAAACGCTTTGTTTTGTTGTTGATGTTATTGTAATGAAACAGTGTTTTATGCTGTCAGGCTGCTGGTGTCCTGATGGGAAGGTCATGAACCACGAGCATCAGTGTGTTCTGCCGGAGGAGTGTGTGTGTGAGGTGTCTGGGGTTCGGTACTGGCCGGGTCAGCAGGTCAAAGTGGGCTGTGAGATGTGTGTGTGTGAGAGAGGTCGAGCGCAGCGCTGTCAGCCCAACCTAGAGTGCTCAGGTGAACACACACACTCAAACACACACACACACTCAGCTTATGAAAACCCCAAAGTCAAAAAAAGTTTTCATATCTGTAAGCCGTAATCATCAAAATTATAACAAATAAAGGCTTGAAATATCTCACTTTGCATGTAATGAGTCTATATATTAGTTTCACATGTTAAGTGGAATTACTGAAATAAACAAACTTTTGCAGGATATTCAAATTTTTCCAGCTTCATCTGTATATATTAAAGAAATATTTGCATGTATATACTATATATGAAGAGTTCAGATGCAAAAGCCTCTAAGTGCCGTTTGAAATTTTCTTCTTTAATGATGATTTTTATCAAGCTTGTATATTTAAGTTCAGTGATTTCACTTAAATGGCAATGAGGATTACCTATTAATTGTTATTTAAGTGAAATTACTGAACTTAAATATACAAGCTTGATAAAAATCATCATTAAAGATGAAAATTTCAAATGGCATTTAGAGGCTTTTGCATCTGAACTCTTCATATATATATATAAATATTTTATATATAAATAACAAATGTTTTTTAAATATATACATGCATATGTGTGTATTTATATATACAAAGTAATTATACACAGCACACACACATTTATGATTTTCTCTTGGATGCGATTAATCGTTGCCCAGCGCAAGTAAATACACATCTGTGATATTTAATATTTTTGTCTTTCATCACTATTTATGTTTTTCTTTCTATATATAACCTATTAACATACTCAAAGATGTGTTGTGTTGCTGGTAATGACCCGGTGTGTGTGTGTGTCCAGTTCACTGCGGCTGGTCGTCCTGGTCCCCGTGGGGCGAGTGTTTGGGTCCGTGTGGAGTTCAGAGTGTGCAGTGGTCCTTCCGGAGCCCCAATAACCCGTCACAACACGGCAGCGGCCGGCAGTGCCGAGGGATCTACCGCAAGGCCCGGCGGTCAGTCTCAGAGCAGCCTGGAGATCTGACACATTAAACACACATTTGATCTGTTATATTTATGCATTTAGAAGATAAAGCGACTTGCGTTGGATTGCGTTCATTCAGGGCAGCAAAACCAGTCAAAAGTTTTGGATTGTTAAGATTTTTGATGATTTTGAAAGAAATACAAGACTGCATTTATATGATTAAAAACTGAGTAGTTCATGCATTTCCTGGGAATGGAACCCATGACCCTGCCGTTGCAAGCGTTGTGTTGCAAATGTTTAACCCAACGGTTGGGTTCATCCATATTTGACTCGAATTTGGGTTAAAACAACCCTGCATTTTTTAGAGTGTACAATATAAGAAACACAGATCGTAACTGTTTTTCATCGTGTGTGTGTGTGTGTCCTCAGCTGTCAGACAGAGCTGTGCAGCGAGTGTGAATATGGTGGACACACACACACGGTTGGCGAGCGCTGGAAAGGCGGGCAGTGCCAGCTGTGTCAGTGTTTGCCCAACTTCACCGTGCAGTGCGGCCCGTACTGTCCTTATGCTGCCACTGGATGCCCACAGGTGTGTGTGTGTGTGTGTGTGTTCTCCTTATGTGGGCGAATGAAGACAACAGCAGCGTTTCTGATAAACTACATCACTGGATTGGTATTGTGCAGCTGATGTGTGAATGCTCTCTCTTAAGAATGACATCTAGTGGTGGACATAGGTACTGCAGTCCAAATTCAAAACATCGGAGACTGTCGTTTCTCCTCAGACTCGACGCTCACACGGGTCGCCAACAAGAACGAGTGCAATGGACTATCAAAATTGGCAAATTGGCAACAATATACTGCACAGAGCAAAACAAAAACTAGAAAACACATTTTAGAGTAAAATAACCAGCTGCAGAAGTGTTTTTCAGAGAAACCAGTGTATAAACGTAGCATGTTTCCTCAATATATGCAAACGTGTTTTGGTATTTTTATGCTTTAGTTTAGTGAAAGAGTTACACACAGCACCTTTAACGGTAAAACGCCAGAGCACAGCATATTTATGTATATTTACCGCTTCAATTTTACGGTAATTTACTGTTTGCTTTCTCTGGGTTAACTGTGTAACATTTGTTCTCCATTTTAGGGTCAAACTCTGATCCCAGGGGAAGAAGACAAGTGTTGCTATTGTGAAGAGAAAGGTTTAACGTTATTTTATGCTCGTTATAACACCAGGTAATTGATGCAGTCAGAATGTGCATTTGTTTATGCAGGAAAACGTGTGTTTCAGGTGATATCACCACCGTCGTGACGCCGACACCGATGGTCCTGCCCATAACGGTGGGACCCTCCACACCACCAGAGGGCCCTCCGACTGTCCCAACTTACCCCCTGCCCCCTGGAGGTCAGTTTCAGCCCAGTTTCCAGTCCACACTTTTGAGACATAATGCATTATGTGTGTATAATGGCCACAAACACCCTAAAATGATAAATGGGACACCCTACAGGTGAAGTGTGGCGTTTGGGACAGTGCCTAAACATTCCTCCGTTTTTTCAGTGTTTATTAATCGAGACTTCAACGCATCAGGATCATTTGTATCTTTTCTGTCTGTTGTTTGATAGACCGCTTTGGCAATATTTTACACATTAATGCCAATGAAGCTAACTTGAATTTGAATTTAGACGAGTGCTGGTCCTCTCTGGGCGTCCCCTCGCTCCCCGACTCCAGCTTCAGCGCCTCGTCCCATCAGCCCGACCACCCTCCGTCCGCGGGACGTCTGCACGCCCGAGACCCGCGCGGGGACCTGCAGGGCTGGAGCCCGGAGCCGAAGGAGTACCGAGAGCTGTCGACCGGGACCCCTGAGGAGACCGGACCCTCCACCGGCCCGTTCCTCCAGATCGACCTGCTCCGGCGCCACAACATCACAGGTGACCCTCAACAGCGGTTTCTGAAGCTCAATCAATCACAGTTATGCCTTTCTCAGAGTTCAGGGGTTCCTCCAGTCGAAGAATGTGAGGTCGGGCCCCCGTACCGCACCCTTTCCATTCATAAAAATCGATTTCTGGGGGTGCGTGGCCCTTAGAATCGTCCTATCTTTCCCTCCCTTAGAAGCATAAAAGTGGGTAATTCATTACAAGTAACTTGAGTTATGTAATCTGATTACTTTTTCAAGTAACTAGTAATGCATTACTTTTAAAACTTACAACAAAATATCTGAGTTACTTTTCCAAATAAATAACGCAAGTTACTTTGTTTTCTCATTTATTGACTGACTGACAGCTCTCATGTTGAGACGCATCGAAGTGCAGAGGCGTGTGTGTGTTTGTGTGAACATGATGGTTATTGTAGTTCTAGACTTAATGTGAGCATTTACTCATCTCACTTGCACAAAAAAAATATTCAATATTCCTCAAAATGAATAAAATCAGTGAAATGCAGAGTCAGAATACTATGCAAAACAATTTTTATGCATTTAATCTCACATTATTGACTAATGTACTTGATCCTGACATTCGATGATTCAGTTAAAGCATAAGCAGAAATTACTACAGATTTTTTGTGTTTTTACTGATAAATTAAGTGTTAAACTAATCCAGAAGAGCAGCAGGTGAAGGTTTGCTTGAGTCTCGAATCTGCATTTCCTTCATTCGGAGGGTTATTATTTCACTTTTGGTGTGAAAGTCTCTTTATATTTGCACAAAAATATAACTTTTTTTAGTATAAAAAAACAAGCCCGGCCCAGATGAGATGGTCCTCACTGCAGAACATGAAATCCACGGGGAGGAGTCAGATCCAGATCCAACTCCTCCCACCTTACATACACCTAAACCTACCCAACTCCACCCCTCAGATCTGGATCCGACTCCGCCCCCTGGATCTTGTGTACTGCAATGAGGTGCTACTGGCCCAGATAAGAAAAAAAGTAACGTAACTCAATACTTTTCTGAAAAAGTAACTAAGTAAGGCAATTAGTTACTTTTAAAAGGAGTAAGGCAATATTATAATGCATTACTTTTCAAAGTAGCTTTCCCCAACACTGGTCATATTTGTAAATAAATGCAGTTCAGTACTCGTCCTGGAGGGAGATGCTGTAGATGCTATAATGAAATATGGCTGGTACTGATATGGAGGAAGAAGCTTTTCAATCAGCACTAGTAAAGTAGAGTAAAGTCGTGACGTGACTCTTGATTGTGTGTTTGTGTAGGCTTGCAGACTCAGGGCGGCGGCGTGTTCGGCACGTTTGTGTCCAGCTTTTATCTGCAGTTCAGCAGCGACGGCCGGCAGTGGTTCACGTATAAAGAGATGATCTCGGACGCCAGACCCAAAGCAAAGGTGAACAGGAGTGCATTTTGCCATGTTTGGCATGAGAATCCAACTCTTTAGCAGTGTAAATAATGAAACTGCACCAGACATCCACTTTAAGGTTGGACATTTGTGTAATATTGGATGAGTTAAGATGATAATGTTTAGTTTGTTCCAGGTGTTTCAGGGCAACAGCGATGACCGCGGCGTAGCTCTGGCCCGTCTGGACCGGATGGTGTCGGCTCGGTTCGTGAGGATTCTTCCTCATGACTTTCAGAACGGGATCTATCTGCGAGTCGAGCTCATGGGATGCGATGACGGTATCCTTGATTTCCATTTAATCATAAAATTACTATTGTTTTGCATTAATAAGAGCAGGCACTAATAATATTACATCATTATTTCTTGGGAATGCACATTTGACTGTAAATCACTGAACTTGAGACGCAGATAAAATTTACTTTTAACAACGTCATTTTCATAGGGACAAATTTTAATATTTTAAGGATATTAATTGTTCCATTGTTCTTCATTCTGAGCTGACCGTCGGCTTCAGTGATTATAAAACGATCGATCTTTACTTGCGTTCTGTGTCATTCAGTCACAGTTTAAATGAGACTTCTTGACTTTTCCCGTTTCATACTTCAGTACAAAAAGTGTCAAACTCTGAAAAGAAATATCTAATTATACATTTAAAAGCAAAATGTGTAAATAAAAAATAAAATAGTCAATATGGCTAATAATTCATGTCTTTATTTATTTTTTTTAAATGTTTAATAAAAGTGTTTTGGTTGCCACATCTTAGTTTTTCTAATAAACTGAAATGAAATAAAATATAAAATTGAAACAAAATGACCAAGACTTTAACTAAAATGAAAATGAATTCAAAATATGAATAAATACTATAATATGATAATTACCAAGGTGAGAATATATTCAGAACAAACACTTTTTTCCTTTATTTAGTGTTTGGATCTTGCATTTAATGTTATGATATAAAACCAAAAGAGAGAAACTAAAAATATTTTGTGTCAGTTGTTACTAGCATATTGCAATATATATATATATATATATATATATATATATAATTCTTTATTACTGTAAGTGAAATATGAAAAGATTTAAACATAATTATTTTGTGAAAAACCATTGATGTATTTTTAATTGTATAATATCTGTATATCATCATATCATTAGTTGCACAGGCATTCAATTATTCTAATTTAAATAATTAAAAAGTGACTGCACGACAGTAATGATATTTTAATGAAAATCACCATAAAGGATAATGAGAATCGCAAACAACTGAAAAGTAAAAGATTGAGATGCATTATTATTATTTAAATGGAATTTGAAGAGAAAATGTAAATAATATCAGAATGCAAAACTCTTAAAATCCTAAAAAATACTTTATTTTCTCTGTGCATCTTACACTTGGACTTTGTGTGTGTGTGTGTGTGTGTGTGTGCAGGAGCGGGCTGTGTGTCGGGTCAGTTCTCCTGTCCTCCTCCAGGGGGGTGTGTGGAAGCAGAGCGCCGCTGTGATGGAGTCCCTCACTGTCCTGACGGGGCGGATGAGAGAGACTGTACACACACTAACACCACACACACACCCCCCACGGCCCCCCCGCTCAGGACGCCCACCGCCAGAGTGACGACCACCACTGTGAGACTTCAGCAACTACAATCACACCTGAAGCTATAAAGCTATATATATATATGTACCTAATATATTATATTTTTATATATTTTTAAGCTTTATATTATATTCTTACCTGAATTATTCAAAATTAATTATTATTTAAATATTTTATATTCAAGAATGCCACAATACAGAATATCTTCAGTCCTTAAATGTGCCCCATTTTCATGAATAATTTAGTAATAATTTTTGTATATTTACTGTAGTAGAAATAGCAGTGATAGAGTTTAACCGGCACTGCAGACGTACAGTAACTGTGATCTCTCTAAAGAAGTCGTTCTCTATTACTGCATTGTGTGTTTGTTAAAGTGTTTAATTGTTTCTGTCTCCAAGGAAGCAGGACCTGGGCCGAGAGGTAGGAACTCAGAAGAGTCATGAATGCAAAAACATGTTAATGGTCCTAAAATTGGTTTGATTTTCTGTGATCAAAATGTGATGACATCATCGCCCATCAGGTGACTGCTCTTCTGCTCTGGGATTGGAGGATGGGCGTGTCCATTATGGTCAGCTGACCTCGTCCTCGTACAGAGAGAATAACCCTGCTGACGCGGGCCGTCTCAACATCGTGCCCAATGTGTGAGCGTTTCAAATCAGTGAAATGAAAAAATCAAACATGTCTTCAGTGTCGGGGAAAGCTACTTTGAACAGTAATGCATTACAATATTGTGGTACTCCCTTAAAAAGTAACTAATTTCGTTACTTAGTTAATTTTTCAGAATTTCCTTAAACGCAAGTATCTCCCTTTGCTTTGAACTTTGAGCGTCGTAACTTTGCAGATGTTGTTTATACTCAAACAGCAACATTACACACTAACTAAAGTTAGAAAAGTCAAATCATAACCAACAAACCCTTTAAAAGTAATGCATTACTTTACTAGTTACTTGAAAAGTAATCTGATTACTTGTAATGAGTCCCACACAACACTATCCATGATGGTCCCTGTCTCCTCACGTGTCCCTCAGGCTGGTGATGGAGCCGGGGTGGAGTCCTCTTCCTGGAGATCCTCATCCGTATTTCCAGGTGGATTTCCTGGAGCCCACGTGGATCTCCGGTGTGGTGACGCAGGGCAGCGAGCGCATGTGGGGTTACCTCACCAAATACAGGCTCGCTTTCGCTCTCACACACACCCACTTCCTCAACGTCACTGAGACCGGAGACAGAGACTCTCCTCCCAAGGTAATCACGACCGAAACACGAGCTCGAAGCATCAGGACATCCTGCAAAAGTTCATTTATTTCAGTAATTCAACTTAAAAGGTGAAACTACTGTAATATATTATATAAAATCATTACATGCAAAGTGAGATATTTCAAGAATTTATTTGTTACAATTTTGATGATTATGACGTACAGCTTATGAAAACCCCAAAGTCAAAATTAGAATATTGTGGAAAAGTGTGTCAGATATTTAAGGTGAGGATGATGTTCTCTGTGTGTGTGTGTGTGTGTGTGTCAGATATTCGAGGTGAGGATGGTCGGCCGGACGCCGGTCACTCGCTGGTTGGACAGGCTGATCAGAGCTCGCTTCCTCCGGATCATTCCTGTAGAGTTTCGTCCCACGTTCTACCTGCGTGTGGAGGTGCTGGGCTGCAGAGGAGGTACAGCGGGTCACGGGGGGGTCACGAGACCAGGTCGTGTTTCACACCACAGTATAAACAGGGGAAAAGAAAATGGATTTTTTTGGATACTTTTTTATTTTTTTAGATAGAAATTGCTTTTTTTACATTGTGACATTATTTTCACGACAATTAAACACATTTAAATTCCAAACTATGATGTCATATTATAGTTTTCTTTTTTTTTTTACTTTTTTTACACAATTTATTTTTACACACACACACGTGTATATATATATATATATATATATATATGACAATATAATTTTTACTCATTTAATTAATTAATTTTATATTGTTATTATTAATATATTTTAATATATTTGTTAAATAATATAATTATTTAAAATATATTTTTAATTGAGTAAATAGCCAACGTTAATAACACTTTGATCTATGCATGCAATATAATTTATAAATGAATGCATTTATTAAAATGAATACACCCACACTACAGTAATGAGAAATGTACTTGTCATAAATAATACTTAACAATATTTTTACTTTAAATATATATATTTTTAATTAATAATACTATGATATATACATACAATAGAATTTATAAATGAATTCATGTAATACAATTAGTACATTTTAAGTAATATGTTTTCACATTGCAGTAATGAGAAATGTGCTTTATAATCATGAAAACCCACAAAATATTTATTTTTTTAAAATATTCATTACTCTAAGCATTATATAATGTATATCATATCCACATATATATTGTCTTTCTGTCAGATGAGTTGGTCACAGCCAGTAGTGAAGTGAGCACAGCGCCACCTGGTGGACCGGGATTACAAAACCACACGGGACCGACAGGACGTCCTGGTCACTATAACTACACATCTGGACCTCCAGGACTTCACACCAGGAGTCCACAGGACGGGAGCCCGGGAGTGGCTCCTCACACACACCTGACAACAGCGCCACCTGGTGTCAGCACACCGAGGACAGGTGCGCACTTCTGAGACTCACACTGCAGTCTATAAGCTTCATTTTTGAGATCTTCGACGTCCACATCATTCTCTTTACACACGTCAGGTGCTGTAGAAGTGCAAAAGTAAATGCTTTTTCCCCGTTTCTCAAGGGTTCTGGGAAACGTCCACAGCGTATGATGATGGTTTACCCAGAGTCCTGTGCGTGGAAGGACAGTTCTCCTGCAGGACGTTTGGTTGTGTTGAGGCTGTGCTGGTGTGTGACGGACACGAGGACTGTCCCGACGGCTCAGACGAACATCGCTGTGGTAAAAATCAAGCATACCAATGTTTATATTAATTAACTATTAATTAACAGAAATTGAATTTAAGCTGAAATCAAATAAAATATATGGGGGAAAAACTCAGTTGGAAATTAGAAACGCTGCCTTGGCAATAAATTGAAATAAAATAAATTTAAAAGTACTACAATTTCTAAAACAAAAGTTAAAAAATATTTATTAAAGCTCAATTGAAATATTTAATTGATTTATATTTGCTATTTACATTTCATTTTATTTTAGGATTTATATGTAATGACATCATCATTACATATAAATCCTAAAATATGACTGAACACATAACAAAAATTAGTAAATGAATACTATTATATCAACAACAAAAAATAATTTAAAAAACACTTATTGCCAGTCCTCCATTGTTATATAGTTTTATAATATATATATAAACAGTGTATTAATTATGACTACAGACTTTTTGTCTGTAACATTTTTGTATTTTTAGATTATTATTTTTTTATTTAAAAACAATATGACCGTTTTTTTTATTTGATTTGATTTTATTTTTCATTGTTTTTTTATTTTATTTTATTTTATTTTTTTTAATTTTTCATTGTTATTTATTTATTTTTATTTTTTACTTTATTTTTTCCATTGTTATTTTTTTCATTGTTAGTCATTATTTCATTTGATTTATTTTGTCATTGATGTCTGTTTCATCACAAGTTGAATATTCCTAGAGCATTTTTCATTTGTAAGTCATTTGCTTTTAGTCTCAGATTTGCACGCGTTGACTCTCCTAACATAAAATGCCTGATTGATTGCCTGAGCTTGTGATCCCTGAGTCTGGATGTGACCCCTCTGACCTCAGGCCCGGTCACACAGCGCCCCCTGGAGCCCGACCGCTGCTCCTCCAAGCAGTTCCGCTGCTGGAGCGGCGAGTGTGTGAGTTCAGATCAGAGATGCGACCTCCACCGCGACTGTGCCGACGGCTCGGATGAGAACGACTGCTGTGAGTCCACACACACACACATCTCAGGTCAGATTCAGGTCAGGGGTAATGTGGGATTGAGGTGTGTGTGTGTGTGTGTTCTCCAGTCGACTGTGTTCTGTCTCCCTGGACGTCCTGGAGTCGGTGTAGTGTATCATGTGGACTGGGTTCACTCTTCCGGCAGAGGAACATCGTGAGAGACGCTCGACCCGGTGGATCCTGTGGTGGAGCTCAGTTCGACAGCCGGCCCTGTTTCATACGGGCCTGTCCAGGTACACACACACACCACCAATACTGCATATGCACTCTCAGAAAAAAAGGTACAAAAGCTGTCACTGGGGCGGTACCTTTTCAAAAAGGTACACTTTTGTACCTAAAGGGTGCATATTGGTACCTTCGTGGTACATATTTGTACAATTATGGTACCAATATGCACCCTTTAGGTACAAAAGTGTACCTTTTTGAAAAGGTACCGCCCCAGTGACAGCTTTTGTACCTTTTTTTCTGACAGTATATAACATATAATATATCACATACTGGTTTCAGAGCTGTCCAGGTACACACACACCAGCAATAATGCATAGATATTGCGATATCCGTCTACATTTGCGATATGTGGATGTATTGTGCAGCCCTGTCTCTCTGTGTCCCAGTGGACGGTCAGTGGTCGGACTGGACGCCCTGGTCCGACTGTGGCGTGTCGTGTGGCGGAGGACTGATGGTGAGGAACAGGTCCTGCTCGAACCCTCCGCCCAAGAACGGCGGCAGAGACTGTGACGGGATGAGCAGACAAACACACGCGTGTAACACACACTCCTGCGGGACAACTACGGACGCACAGAGCGGTCAGACTTCACACACGACACAGCAGCAGCCATGCAGGATTTTTATATGTGACCCTGGACCACAAAACCAGTCACTTTACTGAGATTTATACATGATCTGAAGCTGAATAAGGAAGATTTCCATAGATGTGTGGTGTGTGTTGGGACTGGACTGAGATACTGTTGTTAATCTGGAATCTGAGGGCGCAAAAAAATCAAAACATTGAGAAAATCTCCTGTAAAGTTGTGCATTTATGTTCACGATTTTGCTGCATTCACTCACAAAAATAAATGTTTTATATATTTACGGTAGGAAATTTACTAAATATCTTCATGGAACGTGATTTTTACTTTATATCCGTATGATTTTCGGCATTATAGAAGAATCGTTCATTGTGACCGATTCAGTGTGTTGTTGGTTATTTTCACAGATACACCCGTGCGACTCGTGACTGGTTTTGTGATTTAAAGTTATATTTGAGCATTGTCTTTATCCTGTGATTTAGATGATGTGTGTGTTGATCACCTGTGTTGAACCTCAGGTTGCACAGGAGGAATGGTTCTGGTTAAAGAGTCGGACTGTTTGTCTGGGATCATGGATGCGTGTCATGTGACCTGCTCTGACCTGCACTCCGACAGGAACTGCACATTAAACTGCACTACAGGTACAGTCACGTCATTATAGAGCTGTGCACATTCATCTAAACCCTAACCCTATAGTAAGTTAATTAATATTACTCAGTACTTCAATATATAATTACACTGTAACAATGACACCTTAAAATTAAAGTGTTACCAATTATTAATTTAGTGTTTTAATAATAATTATTCCATAGATTAAAAGAGAAATGATACATGTATTGAGTGTGTGTGTGTGTGTGTGGTTGGTTAGGATGTTATTGTCCTGCTGGACTCTTCCTACAAGATGGACGCTGTGTCGACGTCAGTGAGTGTGAGTGTTTGTGGGAAGGTTCGCTCATCCAGCCGGGACAGGAAGTCAGAACCAGCGTCTGCAGCTCATGGTCAGGAGACACACATGCTTTTTAACATTTCTTCTGATTATATGAGACCCTGGATCACAAAACCAGTCACGAGTCGCACGGGTGTAACACTCTGTATGGGTCACAATTATAGATTTTTCTTTAATGCCGAAACTCTTTAGGATATTAAGTAAAGATCATGTTCCATGAAGATATTTAGTAAATTTCCTACCGTAAATATATATGAAAAATATTTTTTTGTGAGTGGATGCAGCAAAATCGTGAACATAAATGCACAACTTTAAAGGCCATTTTTTTTTCAATATTCGATTTTTTTGCACCCTAGGACAGTATTGTCCTATCCTAAACAAACCGGTCTTGTGGTCCAGGGTCACATACGGCAGCATGTAATACTGTAAATGCATGTCATGTTGTTTTATCCAATCCTGCAGCGTGTGTAAAGATGGGCGTGTCACATGTGATGAGTCCAGCTGTGTCGCTCGCTGTGATTGGTCGGCCTGGTCTTCGTGGACGTCATGTGACAGCAGCTGTGGGACGGGAATCCAGCACCGTTACAGGTGGACTGACTTATTAATCAAACATCTATTAAAGTTACATTCTGTGGGATTTTAATTTTTTTTAATCAAAAACAAGCAAGAAAATATGTTTTTATTACATTACAATAAAAAACTAAAAATAACACAAAACACTAGCATAAGTATACATTCTTAGACTATTTACTATACATCTTTTCTTTCAAAAAGAATACATAAATAAATACTAAATAAAATAAGATATTAATAACAAATATTTTAAAGTCCCCTTCAAAGTTTCACAGTAAAGTCATGTTGATTACTTAAGCATATTATGCATTTCGGCTTCTTAATAAAAATCATTAAAAAAAGCAAATAATTCAATTATTTATAACAAAGGAAATAAAATGTGGCACTGTTCTGCCCTATTCAAGCTCTTTACATTTATTTCTAACAAATAATCATGTTTCAGATATGCTTTTTAAAAAAATTATATATTTTGGAAAACATGTTTACAGTGAATGATTTTACAAAATAAAATAAATAAATAAATAATTAATAATAGTTTGTGGACAGGACAGTTTTTCCCTTAGAAGGGAGAAATTAGAAGGGGTTATTCTAGTAATTCTTTGTATGAATTATATTTTAATGTTTTAAATATGTAAATAGGTTCAGACACACAAAACCGGTATCAAGTCAACGACCCAAAAGTGAATCCCAAAGAATAACGCTGAATAAGATGATGTATTCCATGTTTGGTCAGATCTGAATATGACTGTATGTTTATGATGTATTTCCATGTTTGGTCAGATCTGAATATGACTGTATGTTGATGATGATGTATTTCCATGTTTGGTCAGATATGAATATGACTGTATGTTGTTGATGATGTATTTCCATGTTTGGTCAGATCTCCTCTGAGTCCGATGGGAGCGTCGAGGGTCGATCCGTGTGACGGCGACTCCACCGAAGCCCGTCGATGTTTCACTCCCTGCTCAGACGGTGAGATCTCACTCCAGTCTCAGTGTAGAACAGAGGTCATGCATTGCCGTTCCACACACACACACACACACACACACACACACACACGCTGGAATGGCAGAAGTAGATATGAGCAGATTCTGCAGTACGCTGTATTTAATAGTGTTTGCGCTAAATCTGTGCAGATTTGTTTCACACGAACTTCCCAGCAAAGTGAGTTAACATAAGTAATACGCGAAATTGGCTCGTGATTCGACAGTGTTTCCCGCCTCAGTTGATTTTTGTCCACATTTGGCGTTACGTCTTACCCTGTGATCCTCCAGGCCCTGAGCGAGTGTGGAGCGAGTGGACGCTGTGGTCCGAGTGCAGCAAGACGTGTTTCCATCACGTGGACGCGGTGGGACTGAGACGTCGCTTCAGGAGCTGTAATCACACCGACACTAGCGCCACCTGTGGGGGAGAAGCGGAAGAACACGAGCCGTGCAACACACTGCACTGCCCCGGTACACACCACATCTCACACACACACTCTAAATAATCACGCTCTTTTGCTCTAAATTGCAAACAGAAACTCAGCTCTTGATAATAACATGCTGAGAAGTGATGTGATGTCATGATTTCACAGTATTCTCACATTTATTTATTGTACGAATATTTTTTTTCTTTTAATCAAACAATAAATAAAATAAAATATGTAAATAAAGACAAAGAATAAAGGCACATGGATTTCAGTATTCTCTCTCTCTCTCTCTCTCTCTCTCTCTCTCTCTCTTTTTTGATGAAGTTTTTTTCCGATCAATATTTTATAAGTGGTCCCAAATATACATTTCATGACAGAAGAAAAATATGCATATTCAATTTTTTGTTGTTGGGTATGGCTAAAATCGCCATTTGGAGGACTCAAAAAAATAAGTTATTGGGTATAGATGCAGAAAATGCTTTTAAAGGCATGGTGACTGCTAGAATTAAAATTGAATACACATATTTTCAATTGATTAATGATATTCAAAGGTTTGCCGAAATATGGTCTGTGGAAGGAGTTTTGTGTGATGTTTTGGATGACATGTTGGTTTTCAAATTTTAAAAATGATTGAAGTATAATTATTGTGTATATGCATTTTTTTATTGCTTTTTTTTTGATTGTATGATCAGATAAGAAATCTGGTATTTGGAAAAAGTTCATGTTATAATAAAGTCTTGTTAAGCCTCTCTCTGTGTCTCTCTCTCTCTCTCTCTCTCTCTCTCTCTCTGTCTGCAGTTGCCGGTGGCTGGTCGTCGTGGTGGAGTTGGTCGAGCTGTTCTTCTGAGTGTGATTCAGGAGTTCAGACTCGAGAGCGTGTGTGCAGTTCTCCGGCTCCGCTGCACCAAGGCCTTCGCTGTCCCGGACCGCACATACAGACCCGAGACTGCAACGTCCAGCCCTGCTCTGGTGAGGAATCATACGCTCATGCATTTTCATTTAATAATCCAAAGAACAGCAGCAAAAATATGAGATAAATGTCCTTCTGCATGAGCCACTGGCACATGAAATTATATCCACAAATGCTTTTTTTCTCAAAGGCTAAAAACTATTAAACTAACATTCAGATTTCAGAAATGTTTTTGCATCCTTCACATGAAGATTTTTTTATTTTTATTAATATTTTTATTGTGAGCCATGGCACAATGAAAAATACATAACTTCAAGGTATAAATGACGCCATATTTAGCTGTTTTTTCTTATCTTTTTAACATACAATTGAAAACCAACAGGTGTGCAAGGTAAACAGGTTATACATTGATACATTAAAGTTATCACAAATTTACACAAGTAAAAAAAAAAAAAAATAAACAATAATAAAAAATAAATAAATAAATAATAATAAAAAAATAATAATAATAATTAATAAATAAGTACATAAATAACAATTAAGAGAGGAGGGGAGGGTAGTGATCCATCAGTCAGAAGGTCACATGAAGATTAGTGTGTGTGTGTGTGTGTGTGTATATATCCCTCATCTTTTCTTTGGATCATTTTGAAAGAATTGTTTTTTTAATTGAGTGTTCATCAGAGGGGTCCAAGACCCCGGGACTTTTGTCCCACTATAGCCAATAATACACAAAACAAATGTAATGGATTTGAGGAGTTTTATATATATTTTTATTTATTATTTATTGATCAAATTTAGTAATTTAAAGGTAAATAAATATCAAAAAATTGCATTAAAAATAGAAAAAATATTATCAAAATGAAATAAAATAAGCTTTCTGGACAAAAAAAAAAATCGTGCAAGGGAATGATGAGGGATAACCTCTCACCTCTTTCTGAAGGTGTGATGTGTGTGTGTGTGTGTGTCCTGCAGGTGTGTGTCCGGAGGGCATGACGTTCCTGTCGAAGGATCAGTGTGTGTCTCAGGGCGGCGCGTGTCCGCGTGTGTGTATGGACGCCACGGCCGAAGTGGAGTGTGCCACTGAGTGTCATGATGGATGTTACTGTTCTCCCGGCTTCTATCTGTTCAACAACACGTGTGTGTCTCTGCAGCGCTGCCCGTGCTACCACAAGGGGGCGCTGTACAGTCCGGGGGAGCGAGTGCCTCATGACGACTGCAACAACTGGTAACGCTTCAGGTTCATTCAGAAATCTGTGGGGGTCAGTGAGATTTACTCTTTTATCCAGACAATGCATTTAATTGATCAAAAGTGGCATTTATAATGTTACATAAAAGCTTTTTACTCATCAAAGAATCCTTAAAAAAAAATCATCATGGGTTTCATAACAATCGGAACGGTTTTCAACACTGGTAATAATAATCATAAATGTGTGTTGATCATCAGATCCTCATATTAGAGTGATTTCTGGAGGATCATGTGACACTGACGACTGGAGTAATGATGCTGAAAATCACAAGAATAAATTACACTTTATTGTATATTCACATAGACAACAGATGATATACAGTACATTAGGATAATATTTCATAATTTTCTCTGTATTTTTGATCAAATAAACTGAAGAACAGAAGAGACTTCTCACTGACCCGAAACTTTTGAACAGCACTTGAAAATATTTTTCCCTTAAAAAAACAAAAAAACAACAACAATTTATATATATATATATATATATATAAAGTAGTTGGTATGACAATTAATTTGTAATTAAAACCTTAATTCATTCATTTAATTCATTATTAAAAATAAAATATACATATATTCATTCAACAAGTTTGCATGAATTATGTCATATAACGTTATATATGAATTTTTAAAAAATCAATATTGACCGTGTCTTGTGTCTCCTGACAGCACATGTGTTGATGGAGTGATGCATTGTGGGACGGCGCCCTGCCCTGGTCAGTATGACGCATCATATCCTGTTCTTCATCACAGTAAAAGTATTTTCCATCTCCTTTTATTCGTCCTTATGCCTTCTGTTCTCAGTAGTTTGTATGTATTGATTCCTGCAGTGCATTGTGGGTGGAGTGAGTGGACGGCCTGGAGCGCGTGCAGTCGGTCATGTGACGTGGGCATCAGGCGGCGCTATCGTTCGGGAACCAATCCAGCGCCAGCTTTTGGAGGACGAGCCTGTGAGGGCGAACGCATCGGACTGGACACATGCAGCGTCAAACCCTGCTTCGGTACAGTGATCACATGACCTCATAACATGTCTGTTTAGAGTTATAAATATCCTTGATATATATATCCTTGAGCCAGATGCTTGACATGTACTCTAACTGTACGTGTAATATTAGTGTGTGTGACGCGTCTGTGTGTCCAGGAGTGAAGGGCCCGTGGAGCCCGTGGTCCGAGTGTTCGGTTCCCTGTGGCGGCGGATACAGGAACAGAACCAGAGGCCCGGTCAGGACTCACGGGACGCCTCAGCAGTTCAGCGCCTGCAACCTCAAGCCCTGCGGTGAGTCTCGGCCCTTCTCGGCGCTGTCAAAATAAAAGCCAATCAAATTAAAACTAAAACGGAGCTAAACCTGAAAAAAATAAAAATAAAATAAATAAATATATATAACTTTTTTTTTAAAATTTATCTAAAATTCAAAATGTGAAAATATCAAGAAAAAAAACAAATTCAAAATATGAAGAACATCGATAATAGTATATGAATAATACCATAACACTGTTATAAATAGCAAAGCCTTTATTATGTGTTATTTTTATGTATTATTTTAATAATAAGAATTAATTAAATCATTATATTATATTAACAAAAATGTTAATAATGTAGTTTATTATAGTGTTTTGAAAATAAAACAATTGTCAATAACTGTTACTCGTATTTATTTAATCATATTTAATTAATAATTTGATACATATTATATTGTTTATAATAAAACTATATATTATTCAAATGTTAGAAATTAAATGAATGCAATTAATACAGTGGAAAGAAATCCTTAAGCAAATTTGAAATATTGAACACTTTTATAAACAGAGCTAAAACTGAAACCGAAATATTAATATTAAAAAAACACACACACACACACAACAAAATTACTAAATATATATCTAAATTTAAATATGAAAATTTAAGGAAAATATGAAAAAATAAAATATATATATTGTAAATAATACCACAAAACACTGATCCAATTAACAGTGTTCCAAACAGAAATAAAAGTCCACTTCCAAATCATGGCAGTAATTAAAAAGCCAAACATCGCGTGATATATGGACCTCATCTGGATCTCTGTGATCTCAGGGAGTGGACGCGCTTGTACGAATGGCCAGGAGTGGGCCGTGTGTGTGAGAGAGGAGCTGTTGTGTTCGGATCTGGGCTCGGACGTCCAGAGAGATAGCAGCTGCCATCCCGGCTGCCAGTGTCCTGACGGCTCTGCCCTACAGGTGTGTGTGTGTGTGTGTGTGTTTGTTATGTTTTTATTTGTGAATGTACTGATTATCTGTGATTTGTGTGTGTGTTAGGATGGCGAGTGTGTGCCTCTCCCGCTCTGTCTCTGTCATGTAGACGGAGAGCAGCACAAACCCGGAGCCACGGTCACCAAAGACTGCAACAACTGGTAAAACCTCACTAAAACATATACATATATCATTTAAAAGATTAGTCATTTTATTTTTAAATAATTATAAATAACTTTTCAACATGCATTTAGCAAATATATATATATATATATATACATGCACCGTAAACTTAAGAAATGTCATTTTTTATTCAATTTTATTTTCTAATTTATATTTTTTTATTATGCATTTAACAAGAACAAATATGTGAATGTATAATCGCATATACCATGTTAATATAGTTTATAGATTATTAAAAATCTTTATTAAATATATATTATAAAGATATTCTGTTATTTTTAAATTTTTATTATAAATTTAACAATAATACTATGAATATGAAAATGTGATTTATTGATAATGTTTTATTCCTGCAGCACATGTGAATCAGGGAAGCTGGTGAACTGTACGAGTGTGGAGTGTGACGGTAAGAGGCTGGAACCGCTCTCGTGCTGGAACACAACTTGTGTGTGTGTGTGTGTGTGTGTGTGAAAGACTCTCTCTCTCTGATGTTTATGTTTGAGTGTGAGACTCCCTATATTTG